CTCATCATCTCGTCATCAGCAACATCATCAGGATCATCAGCATCATCATCGGACACCATCATCATCAACAACATCAACATCATCATTATCATCATCGGGACACCATCATCATCACCACACTGGCCATCATCATCACCACCATCATCATCATCATCATCATCATCGACATCGTCAACATCATCATCATCGGGGCACCATCATCATCACCACCATCACCATCACCATCACCATCACCATCATCATCATCATCATCAACATCAACATCATCGACATCATCATCATCATCATCATCATGATCATCATCATCATCATCAACATCATCACCATCATCATGATCATCATCATCATCATTATCATCATCGTCACCATCACCATCACCGTCATCATCATCATCATCATTATCATCATCATCATCATCTTCATCATCATCATCATCAACAACATCATCATCGGGACACCGACGGGACACCGGCGGGACCGCGCGGCACAGGACGCCGGAAGGGAATCATTTGGTCCGGCCGCGCCTCAGCCGGAGGCGGGACACCGGCGGGACACCGAGCGGCACCGGTTGCCGGAAGGGAATCATTTGGTCCGGCCGCGCCTCAGTCACAGGAGACTTTCCTCTCGCCCGCCCACGCAGCCTCGCCTCGCCCGCACGCACGGCACGCACGAGCACGAAACCGAAACCGATTTCCCGGTAGGGGGGCTCTCCGTTCCACTTCGATCTCACCCCCTCACCTCCGATATAAGTAGATATGTATTTCTGATTCCAGTGCACAGGCTGTTAGGACACAATTCCAGTGTCCAATGTTATAGTCGTATATACACACATATATATACACATATATATATATATATATATGTATTTATATATGTATATAAGTAGATATGTATGTCTCCTTCCACTGTTGCAAGGATGGATGTCCGCGCGAGAGGGTGAGCCCGAATAACGCCCCGAACCACGCCAGAATCATGCAGCCCAAACTTGTGTGGGGGCCCTGGGGCACGTAAAACACGAGAGATTCGCGCTACTGGGGCCACAATCGATAGTACATCCCACCAGCCATCTGGGCGACAGGTGGTCTAACGCTGGTTTTCTTTCCATTTGAGGAAACCTCTTCTTCCCCTCCGGGAGAAGGTTTTCGCGAGCGGTCAGGGGGTCCTTTTTCCCATAAGATGGCTCCAAGAGGGCCTCAGAGAGCCCAAGATAGCCTCCAAGATCGCTCAAGATAGCCCAACATGGCTCAATATAGCTAGCAACATGCCTCCAAGAGGCCCCAAGAGGGCCACAAGACGGTTGCATGTGCTTTTGGCGACCCCTCAGGACCTCACCGAGAAGCCACTGACGTTTGCCTTCTCGCCTTTTCGCTTCCGATGCGCTTTTGAGGCCTCAAGATGGTCCTAAGATGGTCCAAGAGAGCTCCAAGAAGAGCCCAAGAGGCCCCCAAGACTGCCCCAAGAGCGCCCAAGATCGCCACAAAAGCGCCCCAAGAGACTATTTCGTTGGCCCCGGTTGGGGGACGCAAATCGAGGACCCCCCTCCTTTGATCGATGGTCTCCAAGATGGCCCCAGGAGGCGCTCCATAGCTCCCAAGAGTGCCCGAAGAGAGCCCCAAGGGTGCCCCATCAGGACCCCAAGGCGCCCCCCAAACCCCCAAGAGGACCTCAAGACCCCCGCAAGAGCCCCAAGAGGGCCTCAATATGCTCCAAAAGAGCTCCAAGAGGACCCCAATATTCCCCAACACAGCCCAGTAGCTCCAAGATAGCCTCCAAGATGGCTCAACACCCTCCTTCCTCTCCTCTCCATGCACGCTCTGTTTCAATCTATGTGTCTCTTCGTCCCTTTTCCTGTCAGCTCTGATGGGCAGGGCTTCTGAATGGGCTGGTGGGGATTCGCGAAGCGTAAACAATTACAACAAATTCGAGCTCGCAAGGCCACACACCCCTTCGTAAATACGCCGGCCCCTTGAGGTTCATCGGCGTGTCCCCCGGGAGCGGGACCCGGTCGATTTGGAGGGGGGGGGTCCCCCGTAAAAAAAAGTGAACGCCCCAAAGGTCCGTTCCCGTTCCCATCCCCGTTCCCGCTCTCTCTCTCTCTCTCTTGTTCTCTCTCTCTCTCTCTATATCTCTCTTCCTCTCTCTCGCCCTCTCTCTCTCTCTCGCTCTCTCTCTCTCTCTCTCTCCCCCTCCCGCTCTCTCTTTCTCTCGCGTCCAGGGTGTCCTTGGGACCGAGATCGAAGAACCACATATCCCCAAATCTTGCAACAGCCATAAGAACATCAATATGTCTTGGGGGTCTCCTGGGAGTTCGCTGGCGGTCTCGGAAGGTATCTGTCAGACGCCTACGGCGAATCATCGCCGTTGGCGAAGGGGATAGGGAGGGGGAGGGGGATTGGGAAGGGGGAAAGGTATTGGGACGGGGAGAGGGGGGGGGAAGTGGATGGGGAGAGAGAGAGAGAGGGGTGGGCTGAGAGGGGAAGGGAAGGAGGAGGCAAAGGGGAAGGATGACGACGTTGACGATGCTGACATTGTTGACGATGACGATGGCGATGGCGATGGTGATGATGACGAGGATCATGAGGATCATGAGGATGATGATGATGATGATGATGGCGATGCTGATGTGGATGATGATGATGACGATGATGGCGATGCTGATGGTGATGATGATGCTGATGATGATGACTGATGATGTTGATTATGAAGATTATGTTGAGTATGATGCACGTGCTCAGTATGATGATAATCCCAATGGTATTGATGATGATGCTGCTGATGACAATGATGATGATGATGGTGGTGGTGATGTTGATCGTGATAGTGATGGTGGTGGTGATGATGATGATGACTGATGATGAAGACGATGTTTGATGATGATGATGATTACGATATTGGTGGTTGTTGGAGTGATCATGATGATGATAGCGGTGATGCTGATGCTAATGATGATGATGATGGTGATGATGATGATGGTGATGATGATGATGATGATGATGATGATGATGATGATGATGATGATGATGATGATGCTGCTGATGCTTGTGATGATGGTGATGCTGCTGATGATGATGGCGATGCTGATGCTGATGAAGATGGTGATAATGATGTTGCTGCTGCTGATGATCATGATGACGATGATCCTTCTCCCTCCTCCTCACTCCTCCCTCCTCCCCCCTCCTTCTCACTCCTCCCTCCTTCTCCCTCCTCCTCACTACTCCTCCCCTCCCTTCTTCTCTCTCCTCCTTCCTCCTCCCTCCCTCCCTCCTTCTCTCTCCTCCTCCCTCCTCCCTCCTCCCTCCCTCTATCCCTCCCTCCCTCCTCCTCCCTCCTCCCTTCTCCCTCCCTCCCTCCTCCCCTACTATCCTCTGGAAGTGGCACGGGCGGCGGGAACAGGAACGGGAACGGGAACGGACCCCTGGGGCGTTCGCGCGCCTTTACGGGGGTCCCCCAGGATCCGGCTGAACGCACCCAGTGGGGCAGAGGGCCCCAAAACAGGCCAAGAGGGCCCCAGTCCACGAGGGCCACGAGTCGCTGAAACATCGATCCAAAACGCCCACGCTGGCCTCCAGACGGCCCAAGAGGCCCCCGAGACGCCCCAAGAAACCCACAAGAGGCGTGCCAAGAGGGCATCCGGAAGTGTCCCATTCCCTTTTTCGAAAACGTATAATTTTTACACGTTCACCTCTTGGGCGTTCACAACGTTCCAGACCGCCCAAGAGGCTGTCAAGATCGCCCCAAGACGGGCCAAGAGGCCCCCAAGAGGGCTCTAAGACGACCCAACAGGGCGCCAAGACGGCCCAATAAGCCCCAAAGACGGCCCAGGAAGGCCCCAGGACAGCCTCAAGAGGGGGCCCAGAGGGGGAACCCGAACGGACAATTCGAGTCTTCCACCTCAAGACGCCTCCAGGTTGCCCCAAGAAGCCCCCCAGGCCCCCCAGGAGCCCCAAGATGGTAGCCAAAAAGCTCCCAAGAGGCCCCCAGGTGGCCTGCGAGAGGTTCCCAAACGACGCCCCCGAGACGCCTCCCATGAGACCCCATCAGCCATCCGAGTGGCCTCTGACCCGCAACCCAAGCACGGTGGCGGGCTGTGCCCATGGCCATTCGGTACTCATTCTTCGGGTGTTTTGACAGACGCCCGCCGTCTGCATACGTGGACTCTTATCCGTGCACTGGGAATACTCAGAATGTCAGCCCAACGGGCCCCGAAAAGGCACCCAAGAGGCCCCCATGAAGCCCCAAAAGAACTCCAAGAAACTTCCAAACGGTGCACAAGAGGCCCTCAGGAGCAGCACGCAACATATGCCAGTCCCCCAAGGGATCGGCGGTGTGGCGTAAGCCTAAGAGTCACGAAACATTCGCGCTCCCGAGGCCACCTCACGTACACTGCGACAGGCTCTTATCCCCGTTGTCATCATACCTTATGCTTTACAATGGGTTCGCGCTGTCGAAGCCACCACCCTGGATAAATCTCAGCGGATTCGAGCTCCCGATGCAATACTCATCTCATCAATTACAGCACATCTGCGCTCCCGTGGCCACGACCCCTCGTAAATTACAGCGCAATCGGGTTCCCGAAACCCCGATCTATGGTAAATTACAATAAGCCTCGCGCTCCCGGGTCAACGATCCGCTGTGAATCACTGCGTCACTGCGCATCCGCGTTCTCAGGGCCACGCGCCCAACCCACAGAAGCTGCGCCCAACGCGTCACACCTCCTCCAGAGCAGCAACCTAGCATCTCTTGTGTTGGGATGCGTGTTCGGGGGGGGGGCGCCTTGCGCCCGCCCCCCCTCCCCCCTCGTGTTCTAAAGATTCGGCTCCGGACCCGAGCCCACGGATCCCATGACTAACTAGGGTTACGCGCTCTCGGGGTCGCGAACTCAAGTAAATTGGACAGACACGCGCTCCCGAGACCGAGGTCCTCCATGAATTATGACAGGCGTGCAACCAGCCAGCCAGCGCCCAGCACCACGCACTTCGTCTTCGTGACCCATGGGCCCCCGAACGGCCAGAGTTAGTTCTGAAGACTACCCGAGTTCCTAAGGGGCGGAATGACGATCTGAAAGAAACATTGCAATGATTGGTACCGAACCTCGTCGAAATCGTACCCCCGAACACCCACTGATTGTGAGATTTGCGTGCTCGTTTCGCGTTCCCGCCGTACCTCACGCTCTGCGGGCCCCATACCAGTCGACGCTCCATGGCCAGCTGATGCAGCTCCCGTTGGCTCCCCAAGGCGACGACCATCGGTCTGCTCGGGGCGATAGCCCCAAGCAGACCTTCGCACCCTCCCTCTTTCCTCTTCCTCTACCCCCCAGACGCACCCCAAAGCCACCTAGAGCCAAGAACACTAGAGCAACGTACTGAGACCCGAGGGTGGAAAAGCAGCCCGCAAAACAAAACTTTCGGAGGTCCGCGCGGATTTCTTGGATCCGCGCTGGACGTCCTCTCCCTGGCGCGCGGAGCGCGCCAGGGGCGGCGCCGAAAGGGACCAGCGCAGATCCGAGAAATCCGCGCGGACTTTCGGACGCTCAAGTGCATGCTACTTTTCTTCTTTTAGAGAAGACCCCCGAGGAGGGGGGGAGGACGCCCTCCTCATCCTCCTCCTCCTTCTCACTCTGCCTTCCTCCTGATCCTCCAGCAAGCTCAATTACGAGGGTTGGGCTCTCTTTGTAATCCCTTCTCCCTCACCAAGAAGCGTTGAGAGTTCCTTGGCGGGTTTAAATCGGGGCCGCAGACTTCGTCTGTGTTCCTGTTCGTGTTCCCTCCCGATCCCTCCCCTGATCCCTGCCACCCTCCATGCGCGAGCAGAGAGCAACATATGGGCACGCGCAGCACGACACAGCGGGAGGTCCGGGCACTCGATGTACTGGGAGCTCATGCCCTCGCCGACGCCCTGGGCAGGGCGCCCCTTCTTGGGCAGGTTGGGGCTATCGGACCCCTATCGGATATCAATGGGCCATTGGGGCCGATGCATCCCCCAATATGCCTACCCCCTATGGTTGCCCCTGAATTCTCTCTGAGATCCGGGCGTTGTTCTTTTCTTTACACCGGGTGCTTTCGCCCCGATTTGTGCCCTGGGAGCATCTCAGGTCGACCCGGCTCCACATAAAAAAACAAGCAAACAGGTGGGGTCTCGGGCTCAGGCCGTGATTTCTCGCGATGCTGTATCTTTTCGCAGCCTCAGATCTCAGGGCCTGCCATGGCAAGCTACAGTCGAACCTGGGCCAGAATAACATCCCCCGAGAACATGAGACGCTCCGCCGGCCCAAACACAAAGAGCGTCCTAGGGTACCCTCCCCAGGATGCGCAACAGCAGCCAACAACCACGACGAACGTCAGGGCAGCCTCCCCGAACCGACCTCGATCTTATATCTCGGTCCGACGAACGCCTGGTGTCTTTTCGGTCACAACTCGGCTCTCCAGTGGCTGTTCGGGACGATCAGGTCGTTGTGGTTGCACCCCGCTGCTTTTGGCTCCCCTCCTGATCCTAATCCTGATCCTCCTCCTCCTCCTAATCCTCCTAATCCTTCCTCCCAATCCTAATTAAGGGGACAAAAAAACGACCCTACCCTGGGTTACAAGTGCGTGGTCTGTAAACCTCTTGGGAAGTCCCAGAGCCTAGAAAGCCGCGAGGACGCCGCACATCACGCAGGGTTTGTCCTGTCAGCCCACAGGAGGTTCGAAGCGCCTCGTAAACCAGGGTATGGGCGTTTTTTGCGCCCCGGACTAATCCTCCTAATCCTCCCAATCCTTCCTCCTAAATGCTTTACCCCTTCCTCCTGGTCCTCCGTTTCGGCTCCGTCCGGCGCGTCGGCCGTCGGGGCGAACGCGCCCCGAAGGAGAGCGGGGGGGAACGATGAAGCAGAGCGTTTCCCGGCCCGAGGGCTCTTCTAAGCATCACTCTGGGGCTTAGGTCGGGCATGTCCCCCACAAGGGGATTTTGGGCGAACGAAAAAACATACCCCCGACAGGTGCTCAAACATACGCAACACATGCTAAACCAAATGGTCCCCGGACTTTTTTTTTGGGGGGGGGGGGGCTATCTTTGAATATTCCTCCTGTAGAGGGACAGGCCCGACTTAGCTCTAGCGCCGTCGCGTGAACACGACCCTCGGTCTTATTCTTTGAATCATCATCTTCCATTACGTGCAACTCGGGCCTGGGCGCTTGCAACCTCGATCTTATGCAACAGTAGCTCGACCACCAAAGGCATTCCACAGGAAACCCAACCCGGAGACCCCAGCATGTCCACTGATTTTGGCGTGGAAGAGCCACGCTTTCCATCGCGAGACCATCGAAACCCAAGAAGCCCAGGGCACCCTGGAGGCAAGCGGTGTGTTCCTTGGCATGGGCTTCCACTGTGGGAGGCACCCGCGGCGCACGACGGCACTGAAGCACATCCTGCCTCCCAGGGCTGCCGCCGCGCCTCTCCCGGCCTCTGGCGGACGGGCGCCCTGCTTCGGCCTCCGGTGGGCCGCTCTCGGGGCCCCGAGAGGGGAAACACGGTTCGAGGGCGCGAAGCTACGCACGGGAAAAGAGTTCAGGGACTCTGGGGTCCAGCGGTGAAAAACTTGGGCGCGAATTCGTGTAGACCAGCGCGTTCCACTACTCGCAGAGTAAGTTCGGCGGTGGGCAAACCTCCCATTAACGTACCACCCTTTAGTGAAAACGGCCTGGGACTGAAACCGACGGACCTGGACCCACAAAAATGACGGCCGCGACGCCCTCGCGCGAACCGAAAACGGCAAACTCCTCAATCGACGTGTCAGGGTAGGAGGTCTCTCCGCCTCCGAGGAACAGAGTTCGGGAACTCCGGGGTCCAGCGGTTAAAAACGAGGAGGAGGAGGAGGAGGAGGAGGAGGAGGAGGGGCGCGAATTCATACAGACAAGCGCGTTTCACTGCTCGCAGAGTAGATGCTCGCAAGTGGTCTGGACCCGCCGTGGAGGTCTACGGCCCATGACACCGAAGCGGACGTCTGTTTTTTTCTTCGGACGTTTGCGAGTAGGCACTGTGCGAATACAGTCGGGCTCGATTGGACAGGACACGCGAAAGGACACAAGACTCTTGAAGCCTTCCGAGGGCCACATTGCCACAGGAATGTAGGAAGCATGGGCCGCGAGACACAGGACACACCCTTGATTTGGCAAGGTCGACCCACTAATCTGGGCCGACTGCAGTTGAACGCGCTCGGTGACAATGGGGGGGCGATAAATGTGTGGGGGGGGGGGGAAACGGTACCCTTTTCGGGACCCTTTTGGAGTCCCGAAGGGCCCCGGGGGCCTTCGAGGCTCCCTTTTCGGCAGCCCTCGCTGCTTCCCCATTTAACGCCCCTAGCCGTGTGGGACATTTGGCTTTCCCCTCCATTCCTACCCTTCCCTTGGGATCCGCGGGAGTGGAAAGGCGTGTGGTACATTTGGCTGTCCCATTCCCCTTCGCCCTCCCCCTTGGATCCCAAATCACGTAAGAGGCGGGGAGTGGGGTCGACGAGCCCACCGGCGCACTCGCAGCCTCCAAATTCACCCTCAAACGCCCTCAAAGATAGCTCAAGAAGGGCTCTGACGCGCCGGAGAAGCCTCTAGCACATCCAGGATGGCCCCATGACGGCCCCAGAGGCCCCGAAGACGCCCAAAGAGGGCGCAAGAGGACCCACAAGACGGCTTCAAGAGGTACAAACAAATCATAGACGGCCCGAGAAGCCTCCCAGACCGGCCAAAGACAGCCGACGAAGCCCCCCAGAGGTTTCGCATATGCCCCAAGAAGGCCCCGAGATTGCCCAAGAGCCCCTCAAAACTGCCAATCAGGGTTCCAAGAGGACCCGAAGAGGGGCAAGATTCGCTCAGGAGGGGGAACTCCTAGCAGTACTGGGCCCAGGACGCCCAACATAGCCCCCAAGAGGACCTCCCCTAAGAAGCCTCCAGAGGGCCCCCCCAAACCCAGAAAACACTCCTGAAAGAGCACCGCCGAGGTCTCCAAGATGCCCCCACGAAATCCCGCAACTGACGCGTACGCGTAGGGCGTAGGAACATGAGACAACTGCACGCAAACAACACGACGGGAAGCAGCAAACAACACATACGGCACGGGAAGCCGCACATATCCTCTCCTGGGGGTCGGCGGAACTGCGCCTGTCCGCCCATCCCCATCCCTCGTGAGCATTTTCTCAGGACGTAGGGCTTTTACACCTTGGAAACCAATCGAAACGGCATTTCAGATTTCACCCTTTGCCTTCCACCCAAAGAAAACGCTCGGCCCCTCCTTCCTCATCCACGTCAACCATCGCGAGGAGAGACATCCAGACTGCCACGGTGCAGCGTTAGTGTCTTGCCAGATCCTGAATCGCAAGCGCCCATGTGTGTGCCCCTCTATCGCCACGGACAGTGTAATGTTTTATGCACCCTCTCACGGGGTAGTAGAACATGACAGTGTGGATGATGACGATGTCCAAACACAAAGATATGGCTATCAGCTCCCCAATTCCCTGCGTCCACTCCGACTGGACGGAGCCGCTGCCGCCGCGTATGTATAGGTGGCAACAAGACAGCCGAATCGTTCGGGACTGGAAAGAAAAATATAGAAGTTCAAGGGACCACGTGTTTCAAAGCCGACAGGGCAACCAAATCCAGGAACGGCACCACACACAGACAACCGAAACATGCAGGAGGTTCGAGTTGGCGCTCGCGAGCGCCCAACTCGAGCGCCCAGACCTGCCCAGAAGGAGCAGCGCCATGACACGGGCCTCGCAGCGGATCGAGCTGTGGCGACGCGGACCCCTCAGGAGGCCCCCCCAAAATTACGATACCAAGACTTCCCCTTCCCTTTCTATCCTTCTCCTCCCTCCCCTCCTCCTCCTCCTCCTCCTCCTCCTTCTCCTCCATGCTGGCGCTGTAGCAGCAGCCGTGTTGCCCGTTTCCCCGCACACGCTTACGGCTCGGGCCCAGCGTGCCACTTTCGAGTACAAGTGACCGCATCGCCATATATGGAGCGCGAGGCGGCGGTTACCCCACACCTCCTCCGCCTCCGCCGCGGCACCCGCCGCCTCTACGTATCGACTCGGACGCCGAGGCGCATCCAGCCGTGGCGACGAGGCCGCTCCCAGAGGGCCTCCCAAAGAGGCAGAACGCGCCCCCCCCCCCCCCCCAAACCCGGCCCTCGATCCTCCTCGATCCTCGGTGTTTCGTGCAACTCTCTGTCGCATCGTGCCCAGCCACCTTCGCTCAACCCTACTCCTCCTCCTCCCCCTCCTCCGCCTCCTCCTCCTCCCCCTCCTCCTCCTCCTCCTCCTCCTCCTCCTCCTCCTCCTCCCTCCTCCTCCCCCTCCTCCTCCTCCTCCTCCTCCTCCTCCTCGTCCTCCTCCTCCTCCTCCTCCTCCTCCTCCTCCTCCTCCTCCTCCTCCTCCCCTCCTTCCCCTCCCCCTCCTCCTCCTCCACCTCCTCCTCCTCCTCCTCCTCCTCCTCGATTTCCTTCGTCTCCTCATCCTGCCCTGCGCGCGCGCCCGGTCGCCGTACATCTTGAACTGCCCGGAGCCGCGGCAAGAGCCGCAGTCTTGGATGCCCTGGGGCGCCGGCAGGGGAGCAGGCCGGCCAGAGGAGGGCGCGGAAGGGAGGCAAAGGGCCCAGACCCCCTCGTGCCGCGACAAAAATCAGGAAGGCGAGTCTGACGGCCACAAGGCCCGGAGACATGGTGTTACACCCTCGGGTGGCCCTGTCGGTCCCGTCGCGCCACGATCCGCGTCGAATCCGTGTCCAATCCGTGTAGAAAGCGTCGGATCCGCCTCGAGTCCACCTCGAGTCCGTGTCGTACCCGCGCCGACTGCACGGCGAATCCGAGCCGACCACTCGTCGGATAGCAGCAACGGCTGCGATGTACAGGACGAGCGAGGCCACCCACACATGCAGTGTGAGGGCGGGCCCTTCTTGCGGCCCCTCCTGGGCCTTGCGGCCGTCAGAGAGCGGTTCGGCGGGATGGGCCCGGACATGGGTCGAGACCTAAGGGGAATCGCCGACGTGCAAGAGGTCGCCGACCCCCTGGGGTTTCTTCGGCGCGTGAGATCCGAGACGAAACCAGGACGAGGAGAAACTCGGGTGATGATGAATCGGGAACGTCTGAGATCCAGCGGCTCTGGAGGACGCATTGGGCGTCGCGGCATTCTTAGAGCGTTCTGGATCGCTCTGAGAGCGTTGCAGAACGCTCCAAAACGGATTTATCCTCGACCCAGTCCCGTCCGAAGATCGCTGCCCCTCCCCGAACCCCTCCCCAAAAGCTTGAACCGGCAAATTTGGAGTGGGGGGTTCCCGCCGGACTCCGCTCGAGGGGTCATCTGCTCCAGAAGCGCCCTTTGGCACCCTCTCGTGCTTTCTCGCGTCCCCGAAAGGTTCCAAACGGCCTAAAGGGACCCCCCCTTGGGTCGGCGGTGCGGCGTCAGCCTTGGAATCCACGTCCGAAGGAACGTGTTGTCGAAGGCAGGTCCGCGGAGGCTATCATGCAATGTATCAAGCGCATCGAAATATTCCATAGATGCTACATGCTGTAAGATATTATATGATTGTGTCTCCTGCCTCCCCCCTTATCGGCCACCTTGCCTTCGGCACGTAGTAGGCGCCCGGAGGCTCATGCAGCTCTGAAGGGTAGAGGGTTTGTGGTCTTAAGGGGTCTCAAAGGCCAGGAGCTCCCAGTTTCCCAGGCGGTCCCTGGCGCTACTGCACCCAACCAGGGTGTGTCGCCTGAACTTGTTGGACGCCAAGAGAGCTCAAAGACGGGCCAAGAGAGCCCTGAGAGGCCCCAAAGACGGCCGAAGAGTGTCCCGAGTCGTCGAACGATCGGTCCAAGACGGCCAAGATGGCCCAGACGGTTGAAGAAGACCCCAAGACGCCCCAAGAAGTCACCAAGAGGCCTCCCAAGATGCAACAATCATTCATTCTCCCCAGGTTGTTGAAATATGTTGGCGTCTTCCCGACGCTCCAGGTCGACCCAAGTAGCCCCCAAGATCGCCCCAAGACTGCCCAAGATGCCTCCAAGGTCCCCAAACTGCCCAAGATGGCCCCTGAACGGCCCAAGAGGCGCCCAAGACGGCCCCAAGGGCCCCCAAGACGGCTCCAAGAGGAGGCCCCGACGGGGGACTCCAACGGACCGTTCGAGCTCTCGGCCCCAGGAGGCCCCCAGGAGACCCCGAGAGGCCCCCAGGAGGCTGCAAATTGCCTCCAAGAGGCCCCGAACTGCTGGCCCAGCAAGCCCTGAGAGGCCCCGAGGCTCCCAATAAGCCCCAAACTGCCTCCGAGACGCTCCCGAGAGCGTTTCGAAGAGACCCTAAGAGCCATCCCTGAGGACTCTGACCTACAACCCAGGCGCGGTGGCGGGATAGGCCGAAGGCCAGTCGACCCGCAGCCCCCTGTGGTCTTGCTACAAGGGTGCCACAAGGCGTGCTGGACTTTTTTTTTTTTTTTTTTTTTTTTTTTTTTTTTTTTTTTTTTTTTTGTGTTATATATATATATATATAACAAAAAACAAAATATTTCCTAAAGAACTCCCCAAGGGGCTTCGGCTCAGCGCGCCAGCCACTCGGAGAGCTCCTCAAAATCCGCCGGCCCCCTTGTGGGGCCACCAGGCTGTAGGGCGAAGGTTCGCAGTTCCCTGTACCAGTTGCAGCTTCCAATTTCCACTGTTACAATGCTGCTTCTTGCTGTTTACTGTTCCGTGTTGATGGGCCGCGCGAGGGGGGGAGGCCCAAACGGGCAGGTTTAGCACGCCCCGAGCGTGTGTTCTGAATTGCTGGGGTGGGCAAAACATTACACCCTTCACGCAGATCGGCGGGGTCAGGGTCCAAAAACATAAGGGATTTGTTACATTTCTGAAATTCGGTGGCACCCATCACGCCGATCGGCGGGGTTAGGGTCCAAAAACACATGGGATTTGCCGCATGTATGAAATTCGGTGGTGCCCCTCACGCAGATCGGCGGGGTCAGGGTTCAAAAACACATGGGATTTGCTGCGTTTCTCAAATTTGCTGGCACCCCTCACGCAGATCGGCGGGGTCAGGGTCCAAAAACACAGGGGATTTGCCACATTTCTGACATTCGGTGGCACCCCTCACGCAGATCGGCGGGGTCAGGATGCAAAAACACAAAGGATGTGCCACAGTTCTGAGATCCGTTGGCACTCTGCACACAGATCGGCGGGGTCAGGGTCCAAAAACACATGGGATTTGCCACATTTAAGAAATTCGGTGGCACCCCTCACGCAGATCGGTGGGGTCAGGGTGCAAAAACACATAGGATTTGCCTCATTCCTGAAATTCGGTGGCACCCCTCACGCAGATCGGCAAAGTCAGGGTCGAAAAACAAACAGGTCCCGACACTGCTTCACTGCGGCACCCAGACCTCATAATTTAGCTTTTGCATCTCCCGTTATCCGAGGAAGGGGGCCGGCGGCATGGGGCGAAGCCCTTACGGATGTATTGGTCAATGCCTTTCGCGCTCCAAGATGGCCCACTATTGCCTCCAAGACGGCCAAGATGGCCTCCAAGATGCTTCCAAGACAACCAAGATGGTCCCGAGAGAGCCCACGATGTATCGAAGAAGTTCCAAGATGCACGCACCCGATATACCTTCAAGATAACCCAAGATGCCCCCAAGAGGCATCCAAGACGGCCCGAGGGTCCTCCAAGAGTTCCTCCAGGAAAGCCCGAAGAGACCAAAATCAGGTTCTTGAAAAATTGTAGCAGTTGCCTCGAACCGGCCTTCCGACGGCCCAAAGAAGCCTCCAAGATGGCCGCAAGATCGCGCAAGAGGCCTCCAAGCTGGCCCCAGGACGGCCCAAAAGACTCGCAAGACGGCCCCAGAGGGCCCCAAGACGGCCCAAGAGGCATCCAAGACGCCCAAGATTGCCTTCAAGACGACCCTGAAGCGCCCACAGAGGGCCCAAGACGGCCCAGAGAGGCTCCCAAAACGGCCCAGAGAGGCTCCCAAGACGGCTGCCGACGGCGTCTGACGGGCCAGGAACGCCGTAAGACAGCCAAAGAGGCCCTCAAGACGCTCCCGAAGGCCACCAGGAGGCTCAAGGACGCCCTCAAGAGGCCTCCAAGAGGCTCCCAGGAAGCTCCCAGGAGGCCCCAAGAATGTCCAACGAAGCTCCCAAGAGGTCTCCTCATCCTTCTCCTCATCCTCCTTCTCACTCCCTCCCCCGGAGAACCCCCCCTAACCGCGCCCGGAACCTCCCCGAACCCCTCCGAAGTCTTTCCCGTCGCCCACCGTCCTTCGTCAGCCGCCCCGCCGGTGCAGCAGCAGCAGCAGCAGCAGCAGCAGCAGCAGCAGCAGCAGCAGCAGCAGCAAGGAGGCGGCGGGGAGCAGGAGCAACCCGAGGGACCCCCCGCCCGCCGCGGGGCCGTGGAGGAGGGCCACCGGCAGTTCAAAGTCTGCTCAAGATCGCTCCTTGGGCATGCACGGGGCCCAAACGCACCCAGTTTTTTCTTCCCCCCCACTACCCATATTTTCTCATGTTTTCTGGGGAATCGACGATTTATTGTCTCTGTGTGTTTTTTCCCTCCTGATCAACGTCGGCTCAGAGTAGGTCCCTGGACCCCTTCCCCGGGTCCAAAGACGCGCCAGGTTTCCGAGCCGCGTCCAGCCGTGGCGACGAGGGGGCCCCTGGAAGGCCAACTGCCGGTGCCTCAGCTGGCCCTCTGCTGACCCTCCTTGTCTTAGGTCGGGCATGTCCTCTTACAGGTGGATTGGAACAACAATGAAGACATAGGCAAGAATAACCAGATGCGGAGTGTCAAACAGAGTCAAAAATCATGGAAAAGTAAAAAACAAAAAGTCAAAAGTAGTCAAACGAAAACAACGACTGAGGATGCAGAACTGGCTCTGGAAGGTCCTGTGGGTCGAGGTCCTGTTTTTCTTCGGGACCTGTCCACTTAATGTTATGAGAAAGCCTTGCCCTACCGCCGTTGGGGTCGCAAAAGCCGCGCATGGCACGAGGACTGAAGTATCTGTGTCGATTGGTCCCAAGCTCCTCTTCATTATTCAGTTCCTCTCTCCCTCCCATGTAGGGAGCCCGCGCAGTCGGGCCGACCCAGAGGTCCTGGCCACCCCGCAGAAGCAACAAGCATTGCCGCAGGGACTGAGTACTATGTACAGCTGTGGGCGCCCTGTCGTCGACGCCGCTGTAGGTGCACCGCACGGAAGCGTGCATTCGCGCAAGCCCTCCTGGATCCAGAATCCCCCCCTGATCTCTGCCTCCTCTCTCTCTCGCTCTCTCGGATCAGAGCGGCATGAGACAGCGCCAGTTCAACTGAAGGGGCCCTGGGACACACCAATCGATACACACAAATAACAGGATTCCTCATATTTTCATATATTTTCTGGGTTTTTTCTTCCCCCCCACTACCCATATTTTCTCATGTTTTCGGGGGAATCGACGATTTATTGTCTCTGTGTGTTTTTTCCCTCCTGATCAACGTCGGCTCAGAGTAGGTCCCTGGACCCCTTCCCCGGGTCCAAAGACGCGCCAGGTTTCCGAGCCGCGTCCAGCCGTGGCGACGAGGGGGCCCCCGGAGGGCCAACTGCTGGTGCCTCAGCTGGCCCTCTGCTGACCCTCCTTGTCTTAGGTCGGGCATGTCCTCGTACAGGTGGATTGGAACAAGAAAGCAAGTATAGGCAGAAATAGACAAACATATCAGTCGAAAACTCGTCCTCAGCCTATGTTTAAATGTTTTTGAAGGTTCCTCCTGTAGGGGGACATGCCCGACTGAATCCTTGTCCCTCGCGACGCCCCCACCCTGAGCAGGGACCGACCGTCCCGGCATTCCTATAATCCTACCACGATATGTTCTTAGAATACCCGAACATGTTCTAAGAACAAAAACAGCGCTCCCATAACATAAGACCGATGTGTGAAAACAAAACGGCCCCGGCCCGGAAGGTTCTGAGAACACTCCGTGGAAGCCACAGGAGGTTCTTAGAACGTTGCCTGGTGGGCCTATGATCGGATCGGACGAAAGGTGGGGATAACAAAGGGGGGGTTTGAGAATCAGCTCACGTAGCTGATTTTCCCGGCGCCTCCCGGCGCCAGAGGCGGCTATCTATCGAGAAATGGGCCCCTCGGTGAGGCCGAGACCAGCTGCGTGCAGCAAATTTCGTACCCCCCCCTTTCCCAATCCCCCCCTTTCGTCCCGCCCGATATGCGCACGCCAGAACGCCTCGCCACTGCTGGAGGCCCCCGCCCCTCCGCCGCCCCCCGAGCCCGCGCCGCCCCAAAGCCAAGGCGCCGGGAGGCGGGGCCCGGGTCACGCCTCCTGGAGCCCCCGCGCGAGGAGGCCTCTTCGAGCACTCGGCTGGCGCCTGGAGAACATTACAGCCCCCCCCCCTGACGCGGCCAACCCCGACCCTGATCTGAAGTCGGGCATGTCCCCCATACAGGGGGATTCTGGACGAAACATCAAAAATATATCAAACATACTCCCATATTGCTAAACATAGTCAACAAATCGTCCCCAGACCTTTATGTGTATATATATATATATATATAATTTTTGACTATTGTAGAATATTCCTCCTGTAGAAGGATAAGCCCGACTTACCCCTAATCTGACCCAGACCCTGTCGACCCTGCGCCAAAGATTACCTGACCCATCAAAGTTGACGTGGCCCACGACTCGGCGACACCTAGCGTGTCACGCGCGCGCGCGGCGTAGCAACTGGTGCACCAGAATGGGGCGACACAGCAACATGCAATGCGGCGAGCGAGAGGGGGCAATAAGAAGGGGAAGGCCCTCTCAGAGGGCGGCTGGACTTCTCAGCAGCCCTCCCGCCTTCTGAGAAGTTCTATGTGCCTTCGGGAAGGCTCAGAAAACGTCTCAGAAGGCGAGGGGGCTTCCGAGCCCTCTGAGAAGGCCCACCCCTTCTCACTTCCCCTCCTCGCTCGCCGCCGAGAAGAATGACTGCTGATCCATGGAAACTGTTCCAAGTGCTGTCGCCTCGACGCTGGCTGCATTTTCCTTGAAAGCGAGACTCCCGCTTGAGCGCAGGCTCGAGTCCCGATGTGGGCTGTTGGCGGCCCAGCTACGACGACAACAACCCCCGCTCGACACTGGCCATCGAGGCCCCCAAACTCAGGAAACGAGTTCTCGCTCGAGAGTTCCTTGCAATTCAATCAAATTGGTGACGGGCTTACTTCGACGACAACGGCTCCCGTTCGATCCGCCACCGTGCCCCCCAGCACGTTGAGGCGTGGAAGAATGCCAAGTGCTGCCCGGCAGGGCTTCTGTGGTCTTCTGCAAGTGAAAAAAAACCCACCCACCTTTCTCGACGCAGAGTTCTGCACGCACCACCCTTCCTCCCGAGGGTCCCTGGGCGGCCATGGCGTCTCCGTGGGGACGGTCCAGGACGGCGATTAGGATCGCCACGATGACCCAGGATGCCTTCAACACGGCCCAAGATGGCTCGACGACGGCCCAATACTGCCCCATGACCCAAGGTGGCCTCAGAAGGCTTGACTCAAGAGGGCCAACAGATGCCCTCAAGACAAGTCAGGAGTGCTCCAGGGGACTCGCAGGAGGGCCCGAGGAAGCACAAAGAATCGATGCTGCTTACGTGCTTCATTGTTTTTGTGTGTCCACCTTTCCCAGCTTCCGTCAGCTCAAACCAGCCCAGGAAGCCTCCATGATGGCCCCAATAGGGCCCAAACATTGCCCAAGGTCGCGTGGGGGTGCATCGCGGCTCCATGCCGAGGCCCGTCCCTGCGGCCAAAAACCGTGTATAATTAGTGATCTTTGACGGCGTGCGCATGGCTGATCGTGGGGCAGGGAGGAGGGGTAGGAGGGGGGGGGGGTAAGGGGGAGGAGGAGGAGGAGGAGATAGAGAAGGAAGCGAAGGAGGGGGGACAGCGGAGGAGGGGTGGAGGGGAAGGCGGAGAACGGGAACAGGAAGGGGAGAGTGGGAGAGGGAGGAGGAGGAGGGAGGAGGAGGAGGAGGAGGAGGAGGAGGGAGGAGAGGGGGGAGAGGAGGGCAGGGGCAAGCTAGGTACGCTCGCGTCATATCTGACGTCCTACCCCTCCCTCCCATCCCTTACCATGGCGCTGATTTTCTCTATCCGCGGACGCGTGTCGTAGCGGACCTGTGGCTCCGCGCGCGCGTGCGTAGTGGGTGGTGGTGCGCGTGCGTGCGTGCGTGCGTGTGTGCGTGGTTGTGGTGGTGCTGGTGCTGGTGCTGGTGCTGGTGCTGGTGCTGGTGCTGGTGCTGGTGCTGGTGCTGGTGCTGGTGCTGGTGCTGGTGTGGTGCTGGTGCTGGTGTGGTGTGGTGTGGTGTGGTGGTGGTGTGGTGGTGGTGGTGGTGGTGCGGCGCGGTGGTGGCGGGCGGATGGGCGCGCGAGAAAGAGGCCCGCGCTGGGGCGAGAACGCCATCCTGAACGACGGAGGCCAAACACCGATCCGAAAATGAGGCCCACGCTGCAGCGGGAGCACGATTCGGAACGATTCGGGAGCAGAAATGAGGCCGGCGCCTCAGCGAGAGCAGCATTTTTGGAAAAAACACAAGCGAAAACCCAACTCCGGGGAATCCTGTGTAAAAAAACAGTACGCGGGGGGGTGCCGAATATCTTCCGGACGCCATCAGGGGAAGTGGGAGAGTATTTTCATATTGTGTAATTGTGGAGGATGTCTGGGCATGAAGACCTCGACCCTCGAAAAACCTCGAGCGAGGACGGCGACGAGGGGATCGGCGGGCGGGCGCGGGGATCGGCCTCGCCCGCGCACTCGAGGCACCGCGCCGCCGCCTGCGCGCCCGCCCGCGGGGTGGGGTGGGGTGGGGGGGGGGACGCGGCGCAAACTTTCGCGGATGTCTCCTCGCGTGAGAAGGCACGTGGCCACCTGCACCGTCAACGTACTGCTTACTGCCACCTTCACCGTCAAAACTGCATCCATCACCACCACCGTCAACTTGCTGCTCACCCGTGGCACGCGGCGCAGGATTTCGCGGACACCTCCTCGCGTGAGGAGGCACGCGGCCACCTTCGACGTCAACTCACTGATTGCTGCCACCTCCACCGTCCACTTGCATCCATCACCTTCACTCGGGGGCGGCCAAGAGGGGGGCGTCCAAGAGGGGGGTGCGCAAATCATGGCCGGCGGCATGTGCGCGGCCCAGGGGGGGCCAGGGACGCAGTGACAAAAAGAAGAGACGCCATGAGATCTGGCGAAGTATCATGGCCCACGTCATGACATCCAACCCCCCCTAGTCATCACCCCCCTCTTCGCCGCCCCCAAATCACCACCCACTTACTTACGGCTCGCCCGTGGCCGCCCAGGCCCAGGCCGTTGCGCGTCGGGAGCGCACCACTGGGCATCGCTTGGACGTCCATTCCCTGTGTTTTTTTCGGTTTCGTGTGTGTTTTTTTCGCCAAATCATCAAGTATGCTCCTCGATGGTCCTCGCCGAAGGAAAAATGCACACGTCCGAGCGATGCCAAGACCACGCTGCAAAAGGCGCGGGCTCCCCTGCCGGGCCCGCCCCCGCAGGCCACAGCACGACGCGAGGGGCCAGCCCGCTGGCCCTGGGCGGGCCGGGCGCAGCGTGGGGGCCCACCAGGGCCCACCCTACAGGGCAGTATTTAATACACAGGATTTTTAACCATATCGGTTTTGTAATACATGACTAATGTATGAACAAATTTATGCATGAACTCATCGTTGCTTTTAATATTAACTCCCTGCATTTTTGATACATGATCCGCACGCGGAGGTGATGCTGAGACTGCAGCATCGGTGGCGCGGCCTCGCAGAAATCGCTGTGCACCGGGCGACGCCACGCGCTGCTCCGTGCGAGTTCGGAGATCTCTCACTCAACTAGGACCAACATTCCCATTGGCTGGCCTTGAGCCCGTGTCGCCCCCCACTCCTCCTCCTCCTCCTCCTCCTCCGTCTCCTCCTCCTCCTCTTGTTTGTTTCGACGCTGGGGAAATTTGAATGGGCTAAGATCGTAGCGTTTATTATCGTCCTACTCATCCTCCTTCTCCTCCTTCTCCTCGCCCTCCACCCTCGTCACGCTTCAACACTCCCTCTGCTCCAATTTCAAAATGTTAAAGCGCTGCTCGGAGTCCGAGGGAGCGCGATCCGCGCCTCCCTGCACAATCCCCTCCTCCCTTCCCCCCCCAAAGAACCCGGAGATCAGACTCCCCTCCCCCTCCTCGGGCTCCCCCGTGGGGTTTCGAGCCCCCCCCCTCCCCAGGCCACCCCAAGGGGTTTCGAACCCCTCCGCTCCCCCTACGCGCCGCTGGCAAACGACTACGACGACGACGACGACGACGACGACGACGCACATTCTTGCGCCGGGGGGGGTTCGAACCGCCCCCCACGGGCCCCCCCGGAGGGTTCGACCCACCTTCCTACTACTACACGCCGGTGGCAGCCGCCGACGACGAAGACGACAACAACTATATTATCGACGACGACGACACAACGACAACGACGAAGAAGACGACGACGAAGATGACGTCGACGACGACGACGACGGGCGGACCCTATCGGACGGGTCGGGCGGGCGGACCCTCTCGGGCGGGTGCTGTCGGGCGGGCGGGGCACCAAAGTCTGATGCGTATACACCTTGACACATGAGAACCCTAACGGGTGGGTGGGGACGGGCGGACCCTATCGGGCGGGACGGGTCGGGCGGGCGGGAACCTAAAGTCTGATGCGTATACACCGTGACACATGAAAACCCTAACGGGCGGGTCGGGACGGGCAGACCCTATCGGGCGGGTCGGGCGGGCGGACCCTAACGGGCGGGTCGGGTCGGGCGGGCGGGACACCTAAGTCTGATGCGTGTACGGCATGACACATGAACACCCTAACGGGCGGGTCGGGACGGGCGGACCCTATCGGGCGGGGCGGGCTTGGACGGGCGAACCCTAGCGGGCGGGTCGGGCGGGCGGACCCTAATGGGCGGGTCGGGTCGGGCGGGCGGGACACGAAAGTCTGATTCGTATACAGCATGACACATGAACACCCTAATGGGCGGGTCGGGACGGGCGGACCCTATCGGACGGGTCGGGCGGGCGGATCGTATCGGGCGGGCCGGGTCGGGCGGGCGGGACACTATCCTCTGATGCGTATACACCATGACACATGAGAACCTTAAAGGGTAGGTCGGGACGGGCAGACCCTATCGGGCGGGTCGGGCGGACCCTATCGGGCGGGTCGGGTCGGGCGAGCGGGACACCAAAGTCTGATGCGTGTACGGCATGACACATGACAATCCTAACGGGCGGTTCGGGACGGGCGGACCCTATCGCGCGGGGCGGGCGCGCGGACCCTATCGGGCGGGTCGGGTCGGGCGGGCGGGAACCTAAAGTCTGATGCGTATACAGCATGACACATGAGAACCCTAACGGGCGGGTCTGGACGGGCAGACCCTATCGGGCGGGTCGGGCGGGCTGACCCTAACGGGCGGGTCGGGTCGGGCGGGCGGGACACCAAAGTCTGATACGTATACATCATGACACATGAACACCCTAACGGGAGGGTCGGGACGGGCGGAGCCTATCCGGCGGGCGGGCGGGCTGACCGTATCGGGCGTGTCGGGTCGGTCGGGCGGGAAACTATCCTCGGAAGGGCAGGTCGGGACGGGCGGACCCTATCGGGCCGGTCGGGCGGACCCTATCGGGCGGGACGGGTCGGGCGGGCGGGGCACTTAAGTCTGATGCGTATACAATAAGACACATGACAACCCTGACGGGCGGGTCGGGACGGGCAGACCATATCGCGCGGGGCGGGCAAGCGGACCCTATCGGGCGGGTCGGGTCGGGCGGGCGGGACACCTAAGTCTGATGCGTGTACGGAATGACACATGAACACCCTAACGGGCGGGTCGGGACGGGCGGACCCTATCGGGCGGGTCGGGCGGGCTGACCCTAACGGGCGGGTCGGGTCGGGCGGGCGGGACACCAAAGTCTGATACGTATACATCATGACACATGAACACCCTAATGGGAGGGTCGGGACGGGCGGAGCCTATCCGGCGGGCGGGCGGGCTGACCGTATCGGGCGTGTCGGGTCGGTCGGGCGGGAAACTATCCTCTGAAGGGCAGGTCGGGACGGGCGGACCCTATCGGGCCGGTCGGGCGGACACTATCGGGCGGGACGGGTCGGGCGGGCGGGGCACTTAAGTCTGATGCGTATACAATAAGACACATGACAACCCTGACGGGCGGGTCGGGACGGGCAGACCATATTGCGCGGGGCGGGCAAGCGGACCCTATCGGGCGGGTCGGGTCGGGCGGGCGGGACACTTAAGTCTGATGCGCGTACAGTCTGCCTCCTCTCTCCTCCTCCTCCTCCTCCTCCTCCTCCTCCTCCTCCTCCTCGTCCTTCTCCACCTCCTCCTCCTCCTCCTCCTCCTTCTCTGCCTCCTTCTCCTCCCCCTCCTTCTCCTCTTCCTTCTCCTCCTCCTCCACCATCCCCTTCTCCTTCTCCTTCAACGCGCCCTCCTCTTCGCGTTCTCTCGCCCACTGCCGTTCGCGCTCCTGAACCACCGCCCCTCCCCGCTGCTGTTGATCCTCCTTCCCCGCTCCTCTCCCTCGTCCTTCGACGACGCCGTCGTCGTCGTCGTCGTCGTCGTCGTCGTCGTCGTCGTCGTGGACGCCGTCGTCGTCGTCGTCGTCGTCGTCGTCGTCGTCGTCGTCGTCGTCGTCGTCGTCGTTGTCGTTATCGTCGTTATCGTCGTCGGCGGCTGGGGTGTGTGGGGGGGTTCGAAACTCCCTGGGAGGGCCCGGGGAGGGGAGTGGGCGGGGGTTGCCCCCCCCCCCCCCCCCTGGTTTTTCCGGGGTGGAGAGGGTCCGCCCCGGTTCCCGAATCCACCCCCCACCCCAAACCTGGTTTTGGGGGGGAGGTTAGAACCCCCTCCCACCCCCCCCATGCTAATGGCGCCAGAAAGCGCCCTTTCCGAAATCACAATCCTATACCCATTCCCCCGTAACCATGCCGTAGTACTCTGCCCCGCTTCCCCTGATGACAATGCGGGGGGGGGGGGCATGGAGAGGGGATACTCTGGTTCTGCAGGGGAGGGGGGGCAGAGAGGTAGGTTGGAAGGTGGAGAAAGGGGATACGAGGGAGGGGGAGAAGGGGGGAAGTAGGTGGATGTGGATGTGGAAGTGCAAGGCGAGGCGGAGGGATGGGGAAAGGCAGAAAGAGGATCGGGGGGAGAGGAGCGAAGCGAGCGAAGCCAATGACGGAGTCGTGCGCGCTCCCTTGGGGAGCCTGCACGTGCTCAATAGGGCATGGCGTGGAGGCCGTGGCCTCAAACGTGTGATGTGTAGGCGTGCTCGGGTGGTAGCCACCATTCCGTGACCCCGGCGGCTGCTGGCCATCGCGAGTCGTTCGAGCCGTTGGGCTCGTGTTGTCCTGGCCCGGTCGCTGCCAGTATCTGGTCCTGCCCGTACCTGGTCTTGCCCACCGCTGCTAGGTCGGGGGCATGTCCTCCTGCAGGCGGATTTGGAGGACAACTCAGGAATAGTTGAAATAGTCAACAAAACAATCAAAGATCGTCAAGCACATCAGAACATCGTCCCCAGACAACTTTTTTTTGCCCATTTTTGAACACTCCTGTAGAGGGACACGCCCGACTCGACACTGCTGCCCGCTCAAGCTGTGGAGGCACGTCTGGACGACGTCGTCCCGTCTCCTGGGTTGACCCCCATGCCTGTCGGCGCTCTCTTTGGACGCCCGAAATGGGTACGGAAAGAATGGGCACTATGCCCAACAACAAATGTTGTCCCAAGCCAACAGCGGCCGCTGTTGGGCAGGCGGCCTCCTGTCTCGAATGGACACAGGCCGCGGCGGCGCGGACAGCGAGTCCTGTTCGAAATGAACAGGAACTGCTGCTGGGCCTCGTACCCACTCTTTCCGTGCCCATCTCGGTCGTGCAGAGCTACCGCATCGGCATCGGATCTCCGCGCCCGGCTCCGGCTGGCCCTGGCCGCTGCCCGTGAATGGAAGCGAACCGGATCGCATCGGAGTCACGGCCCCAGCCGGCGAATCGAGGAGGAGGAGGAGGAGGAGGAGGAGGAGGAGGAGGAGGAGGAGGAGAAGGGAGGAGGAAGGAGGAGGAGGAGGAGGAGGAGGAGGAGGAATCGCATCGGATGGGATCGCGGGCGGTCCTGCCTGGCCGCGCTCCTCGGGGGGGGCCATACGTCGGGCCTCCGCCGCGGCCGTTCGGGACGATCCCGGCACCTCAGGACGCCTCTCCGCGAGAGGCGCAGCTGCTGGAGAGCACTCCGAGGCTTGAAAACTCCAGAAGCAGACGAAAACGCGTGAGAACCTTGAACCTCGAACCCGAAACGTTCGAAAACGCCCGAGCACTTCTCGGGGGCGGCCAAGAGGGGGGGCGTCCAAGAAGAGGGGGGGAGCAAATCATGGCCGGCGGCATGTGCGCGGCACCGGGGGGGGGCGGCAGGGACGTGATGAATTGAGAAGAGGCGCCATGAGATCTGAGGAGATATCATGGTCCACGCCATGATCAGAGGCCTCCTAGATGGGGTCGGAGTAGATGGGGTCAGAGGATCGCGCCGCATCGCCGATACATCGGCGATGCATCGGCGATGCAGCGTCGACGTGGGCAATGCATCGGCGACGTGGACGTGAAGCAAATCGGGCTCCACATCGAGCCGCGTCGGCGATGCATCGACGATGCGGCGCGATCCTCCGACCCCATCTACTCCGACCCCATCTAGGAGGCCTAGAACCCAGACATCCGATGTCTTGATTTTTTCAATACGGGCTCCCTGGAAGTCCCGAACCTTTCCTGGGGATTGTTTTTTCGTCCTTAATCGTTTTTTGACGGTCCTGGGGCCCGGCGAGGGCCCCTAGAGGCCAAAAACTTAGCAGAATCGCCGTCTTGAATTTTTCAATCCGTTGGATCTCTGGGAATGACATCCCCCCCCCGAGTCATCGCCCCCCTCCCGTGCCGCCCCCAAGCCTCCCCGGGCCAAGGACCGGCGTGGCCGGGGGCGGTGCTGCTCCCGCGGACGCGGCGCCGCACCCCGGCGGGCCCGCCCGCCCGCCTCCGCGGGGCGCTCCAGGAGCAGGGCGGCGGCCGAGAGGGCGGCAAAGGTGGCCTTTCGGGACCCCCGAGGTGGGCGTACGGAACAGTCGGCGGTGGAAAAGCCTCCCTTAGCAAACCTCCCCTTAGTGAAAACGGCCTGGGACCGAAACCGACGGACCTGGACCCGCAAAAATGACGGCCGCGACGCCTTCTCGCGAACCGAAAACGGCCAATTCCTTGATCGACGTGTCATGGTAGGAGGTCTGTCCACCCCCGAAACAAGCGCTAGGTCGGGCAAGTCCCCCTACAGGCAGATTTCGGAGGACAAACGTACAACATGGCCAAACAGAATGTGCAAGACTGGTCAGAGCAAAGGATCGAAGCATCGCCCCCGGACCATCTTTTGACTATTTTTGGAGACTCCTCCTGCAGAGGGACACGCCCGACTTACAACAAGTGGCTGCCATGCCCAACAGCAAATATTGCGCAAAGCCGACGACGGCCGCTGTTGGGCAGGCGACTTCTTCTCTCTTCCATGAGCAACGTCCGCTGCGGCGCGGACAACGACCACTGATCAAAATGAACGGGAACTCCTGCTGTAGAAAAAGAAAAGCACGGCACAAACATAAGCTGTTGGCGCTCCGCGCGGATGTCTTGGACCCGCGCTGGACTCATACCTCTTGGACCCGCGCGGAGCGCCAGCAGTTTATGTGCATGCCGATGTTTCCTCTTCGATGCTGGGCATCGCACCCACTCGTTCCGTAAGTTGCCCGCTTCGATGGTCCCGCTGGCCGCGCCGCGGCGGGTGCGGTGGTTGACCACGTCGAGCACGAACTGCTCCTCGCCGCAGCGGAGGGGGGGCGGCCGCGCCCGCTCGCGGGGCCGAGGTCCCTCTGGGGCAGTCATGGGACGGCCCTCGGCGCGGCCGCGCCGAGACGCAGCCAGGATGCAGTGCGGGCGCGGGCGCAAGAAACCCTCGAAATCCCCGGACCGTCTGTCACCGCACGGTCTCGGGACCCTGGCGGCCCCAGTCGTCCGAAACGTCCAACCCGAGTTCCAAAAATGAGCGGTGACCCCGAATCCCCCACTGACGCCCGCGGGGGCCCTCTACAGTGCGGGCGCGGCCGCAAGAAACCCTCGCAAGAAACTCAGCCCTGAAGCCCGCTGGCGCTAGATGCAAGTGGGGGGGGCCCATAGCACCCTGGACGCAACAGCTCCTTCAACGGCCACTGCAAGGCACCGCGCAGCGCGTGGAGCGAAGAAACCCAGGGTGCCCTGACGAAAAGCAGTCAATTTCTTGATGCACGCCCCCACTGTACTGCATAACACCATCGGGGCCGGGACCCTCGGGAATCTTCCAGCAAGACGCAGCCAAGACGAAAATACAGTTGGGTGAGGACAGATCAAATCTCTGAGATCCAGCGGCTCTGCAGGATGTCTCGGGCGCCGCGGCCTTCTCGGAGCGCTTCGGAAGGCCCCGAGAGCGTTCCAGCTCGCTCTGGCCGGATCTGTCCTCGTCACGGCCCCGCCCGACCCAGACTCGGCGGGAGCTGGCTGCTGCAAGGCGCCCCCCTAGGATTTCACAGGAGGCCCCCACGGCCTCCAGATAGCACCCCTCGCGAGGCCCAGAGGGCCCCAGGGGCTGCAAGCGGGGGGTCACCTTGGGCCAGGGGCACCTTCAACAACGACCCCCGAGAGGCATTTGGCGCCGAGGCGGGTCCAGAGCGCTCCGGGCAACAATCTCGAGAGATTGCCGTCCGCTGGGCCATCAGACTCTGGGCCCGCGAGCGCACTCGCCTTCTCCTCCTCCCCTCCTCCTTCGTGCCTTCGCTCCCTCGCGTGCTCGTGCGAGTGCCCGCGGCTCCAGCACCTCGGGCCCCGGGGGCCCGCCTCGTTCCGGGTCCCGCCGGCCCACACCGCAAGAGTACGGGACGGGGGCCCCGAGGAGGTGTACCACCCGGCAGGAACCAGCTGCTTCGCACTGAAGGATGGAGCCGCTCGACCTGTTTCCGCTCTCTCTATTAGTCTGTCCTGCGCCCTCCAGTGTCACGGCTTCGCCGCAACACGCGCTTCCTGCCCTTCGGCAGCTCCGACCATGTCTTTGCAACGAAGTTGTGCCGTTCACAACGCAGCGGGGTCCTCGCCATCGTCATCCTCGCCTCGTCAAGACTGCTGGTGTTGCTGCTTGGCCTGCTGCTCTCCCCTTCCCCCTCCGTCCTTCCCCCCACCTCCCCACTGGTCGAGTAGGGGATCGATTACGCAATTGATATACCCCAAATATGTTTCGTCGAATCCGCGAGCATGGCGCAGAATGCTCCGTAGATATACGAAGCATTTCACGCATTCGTTCGTAGAATCGGCGGAAAATCAGGTGTGGGGGGTGCTGTAGTCGACCCCCCACTGGAACTGGCTGCTCAGAGGCAGCCTGGAATGACAGATCGATGCACCACTGGCAACATCGCACCGACAGGGTCGACCCCCGTCGTCAGCCGGGGCGGCGAGTCGCCCCACGGAGGCTCATACAGTCGAGTCGCTCGACGCAGCGCGCAGACATCGCCATACATCCTCGAATCGATCGACTCGGGGACAGCCACCCGCAGAAGGCACCTGCACGCCACCGTGCTGGCTGGCCAAGAGCCCTGCTGGGCCCTGGCATGGTGCAAATCCCGGGAGGCCTCCTCGTCTCCAGGCCTGGGGACTCCGAAGACTGCAGAAGGGCAACAAAAGCCGTCGGACGTTTCAGAGATCGGCGCTCTTTTTTCAGCGCTGGGCGGACTTTAGCAACTGATTTGTACTCTGGGTGTCTTATTAAGCGTAGGGGGGTATCCCTCCGACGGGGGTCAAACTCGCCTCGTCGTCGCGCAGCGACGGGGGTCAGAGCGCCGTCGGCGCGCGGTGGCTGCCCGCGACGGGGGTCGATGTCGGGCTGTCGGCGGGGGTGACGGCCCCCCGACGGCTATTAAGAAACTCGGAGTGGCGTTCTATGGGCGCTCCTCCTCCTCCTCCTCCTCCTCCTCCTCCTCTTCCTCCCTCTCCTCTTCTCCTCCTCCTCATCCTCCTTCTCCGCCTCCTCCTCATCCTCTTCCTCCTCCGCCTCCTCCTCCTCCTCTTCCAGGGGAATTGAACAAACGACAGCAACATACCTTCGGAGGTCCGCGCGGAGTTTTTGCATCGGCGCTGGGCCCCCACGCCGATCCAAGAACTCCGCGCGGACCTCCGCCAGTTTATGCTTGTGCAGTGTTTATTCCTCTGGGGGAGGAGGAAGAGGAGCGTGCACATCTGAAAATCCGACGGCTTCGGCGGGATTGCGAAGGAGGAGAAGAAGGCTGAGCGGAGGAGGAGGAGGAGGAGGAGGAGGAGGAGGAGGAGGAGGAGCGTCCATGGCCTCAAGGAGGAGGAGTATTCTGGAATTTCTCCCGAGGAGGAGGGCGAGCTTCAACATCCTCGACCCCCGTCGTTGGCGACGGCATCACGAGCAGCTTGAACAGAAATCAACGTGCAGTGGCGGGCCACGCTCTCCACCCCCCGCTGCCCTGGAGGCGCGCGCTCCGCGCGCAGACGCGGCGACAGCGCCCTGTCCCTGTCCCTGCACTCCTCCTCTTCTTACCTCTCCCCTTGGCCTTCCCCGGGGCCGTCGTTTCACATGGAAGAAAGCACGGCCCAGACGGGGCCCATACGTAAACTTTTGGCGCTCCCAGGATCGGAGGAGGAGGAGGAGGAGAAGGAGGAGGAGGAGGAGGAGGAGGAGTGGGTTCCCTGGATCGGCGCTGGTCGCCCCTGGCGGCGCCTCCGGCGCCCTCCCGGGGGCTCAGTGCCGATCCAGAAGTTCTGCGAGGGGCTCCAGAAGGTCATGCTTATGCCGTCTTTTGTTGTTCGATCTTGGGTTTCCTTGGGGCCGTGGTCTCGAACACGTCGATCATTTGCCCTCCTCTGGGCTGGCGAAAAGCGGTACAGAACACAGTTTATCACGATTGAGGAAGGATGTCCCAGGGCGGCTGGGAAAATGTGCCCGCACCTGCAACCATAGGAGAATAATCTGGTACAAATATCAGCCGCCCTGGAGCAAGCGTGCCCGAAGTTTCATGTTTTTGCCATACCGTTCTTCGCCTGCAGGTCTCGAGGAATAAAGGGCGGCATAAACATGAACTTTCGTAGGTGCGCGCGGATTTCTTGGACCAGCGCTGCGACCTTCTCCCTGGAGCGCGGAGCGCGCCAAAGGCGCCGCCAAGTCTGTCCAACTGCCGATCCTCCGAATCCGCGTGGAGCTCTCATCTGTTATAATGATGCAAATCTTGCTCTTCGACAATCCCCCTCCTCCTCCTTTGAGCAGGGACCGACCGTCCCGGCATTCCTATAGTCCTACCACGAAATGTTCTTAGAACCCAAGAATGTTCGAATAACAAAAACGATGTTCGTAGAACATACACCCGATGCGATAAACCAAGACAGACTCCGCCATGATTGTTCTAAGAACATTCCGTGCAGATCACAAGAGGTTCTTGGAACATTGTTTGGTAGGACTGTAGGCGAGCCAGAACGCTTCGCCACTGCTTGAATCTACTGGTCTTGGTCGATCCAAACCCGGGCCAATCAAGCCTTGCAAGATCCTGCAGGATCCTGCGCGCCAGCCCGGGTCAGTGCGGACCGGGCTGTGCAGGATCCTGCAAAGAGCGGGCGCCCGGGCCCTAGCTGACCCCCGCTTGCAGCGACCCCCTGCCCCCCTGCTCCCCGAGCGCGGCGGCCTCGGCGTCGGCCGGCGCGCCCTCGCCGACGGCCTCGGCGGCGAACGCCTCGGCGGGCGTCGGCGGCTTCTCGCCGCAGCCGCACTTGCCGCACCGGGCGCGGCGGCAGGCGGCCGCCTGTGGCGCGGGGGGGGGGCCGCGGCAGCCCCGGGGCAGAAGGGCGCGCGGCGCGCGGAGTGCCGCAGGTGCCCGGTGGCGTGCGGCCGGGTGTGGGCGGCGGTCGGGGCTTCCCCCACACTGGTAAATTGATGCCGGCGTCCTCGTCGTCGTCGTCGTCGTCGTCGTCGTCGTCGTCGTCGTCGTCGTCGTCGTTTTTGATTCGCGAAGTTGGGCGCTGCGCGCAGCCGCGGGCGCCCAGACCAACAGCGCCTAGTCCGCCTGGTAGATGGATGCACTTGTTTGGCGGTGCGCAAAGGGGGTAGGGGGAGGGGTGAAGGCTTCTTATGAAGCTGGTTCTTTCAAGGCGCCAGCCTCTCATCTACAGACGAGGCCCGCGCCTTCTAAGGAAACATGGGTGCTTCTGAGAATCCTTCCCTCCTCCCCCTGCCCCTCTGTGCGCCTGGCCAAACTTGTAGGGAGACCAAAAGTAATTACCGATACCGGTACTCCCTGGATTTCCTCCTCTGGTGTACGTTTCTCGGGTGCGTTCTGACTAGGATTTCGAAGCGAGTCCAGCAGTGGCGACGAGGACCCCCCAGGAGACCCAAAAAGGGGAAACGAGGCAAAGGTAGCGGTATCAGTACTTTCTCCTCTTCTGAACTTGGGCGCTCGTGGGCCACTTCGTGGTCCGCCTGGGGAACGGGAGGAAAGGGAGTGCCGCCACCCTGGGACCGACGCCTCCGCAAACGTAGCGGCTAGATCTACCGATGCTTTACCATTGCCTCTGGCATGGTTGGGGTGTTGGTGTCGGGTGACACGTTTCCAACTTGACTCCGTGTGGGCACTCTCGAGCCTTGCTCTGCAGGGCCTGCAGGGTGAGAGCAGCCAGAGCGAGGGGGGGGAGGGAGGTGGCGGGGGAAGGAGGGGGAGGAGGGGAGGGGCATAGCTACTTGGCAATGCACAGATAGGCGTGCCCATCTGGCACCACCTCGGAGCCCTTCGTGGAACGCGGGCTCCCAAAACGGTACGGAGACGCCCAAAACGGTGCGGAGACTGGACCCTGTAATGACCTCGAAGTCCCTAGACGGTCCGTCACCGCACGGTCTTGCGACCCTGCCGGCCCCAGTCGCCCGAGACGTCCTCGGAGAGAACGACCCGAGTTCCAAAAATGCGCAGCGACTCTGAATCCCCCACTGACGACCGCGCGGGCCCTCTGCACTGCGGGCGCGGCCGTAAGAAACCCTCGCCAGAAGCCCTCGCCTCGTTGTTGCGTTGCCCCGTGCGGTACGCAACCTTCTTTTCTTGGCGTGGACATTCTCGGGGGCGCGCGAACATGGATTAGCGATCCATGGATTTGGCGCGCGGTCGCCAAATCCATGGATCGGGGGAGGTGCCCTCCCCAAAACGCGGCCGGTGCCGCCTGCTTCGGCGGCGGGAATCCGCGATTTCCAATGGAAACGGGACCCGTCGCTAATCCACGCCCCCTTGATCCATGTTTGCAATCGCCTGACATGCGCTCGTCGTCATGCCGTCGGGGTTCTTCGGGTTGCGCGCTCCTCCCCCGCATGTTGCCACATCACCATTGGCGCGGTGCGCCGCCGAGACAGCTGGCTGCTATGCAGGGAGAGCCAGAAAGATGCGTTGGTCCATCTTTAGGTCGGGCATCCCCTCCCTACAGGCGGATTTGGGGCGAAAGCTCATGGAAATAGGCAAAGCATACCCCCAAGAGGTCAAGAATAGTCAACAGATCGTCCCCAGAGCATCTTTGGACTATTTTTGAATAGTCCTCCTGTAGAGGGACAAGCCCGATTGAAGTCCATCTGGTGTGTATTCAGGGAGACGGCCGAAGGGCCGTTCCTGTATGGGGTCCGTTGGTGGAGGCTTCTTTTCCTGGGCACTGCGCAGCGAGCAGTGCACCAAGTTCAGCTTGCCAAAACCTGAGCCAATACGGTTGCGGAAGGGATGTGATAGGGAAGTGAGCGGGCTTCACACACACCTGGCTGCGGCGCACGGCGGGTGTCAGGCCTTGGGGGGGCGGACCGTCCCTGGCTCTCCGCGGCCGCCCCGCGGCCTGAGCTCGCCCCCCGGGGGGCGTTGGCAGTCGGAGAGTCCCCGCAATCCGAGGATACCCAGTCGGGCCGCTGTCGTAAGGAACCCAAATAATGGTGCCCTGGGACACACAGACAAATAGACACAACTCACAGGATTTCCAATATTTCCCATATCTTCTTGGGTTTTCGTCTTCCCCCCCATCTCCCTTACTTTCCCATATTTTCTCTGGGAAATCGACGATTCATTGTGTCTGTGTTTTTTCCCACCTGACCTGGGTAGGGATCGAGGCCCCATCTTTCCAGACGTTACACTTTGACCGCCCATAGAAATCCTGGGGACAGCCAGGGGAACACTGTCCGGAGCATGCGGCTGCCCGCCTCGCCCCGGAGGGCGGCGGCGCACGGGGCGGGCAGCGGCGGACGCTGCCTCGGGCGCACGGCGGGCGTCCCGTGTGCGCTGCGTCCTCGGCCAGAGTTACGGTGCGCCGCTTGGCCCGCCTGATCAAGAAAGGGGTCCACATGCGAACCCTACCCCTACCCCCCACGATTTTTGAGGGGGAGGGTGGGGTTCACTTCGCTCGTGACACCCCGAAAGAAGTGAACCCCACACTCCCTCTCAGAAATCGTGGGGGGTAGGGGTAGGGTTCGCATGTGGACCCCTACAAGAAACTGGCTGTTTCTCGTCAGGGTATCCTGGGTTTCTTCGCTCCGCGCGCTGCGCGGTGGCTTCCCGCGGCCGTTGAGGGAGCTGTTGCGTCCAGGGCGCCCCGCAGGGCCTGGCTGAATGAGCTGGGGCCGCCCCTGTGGTGTGGCCCCACGGGCAAGGCAGGCCACAACCGCCAGGTCCTTGACCCAGCACGCGTCCTTGCTAGGCTTGACGGTGATCGGGTCGCGCGCTGCCGTGCTGTCCTTCCTCGGGCACGATTTGGCAGCCGACGCGGAAGGATTGATGGAGACACGGCGCTCGCTGCGCCGTTCGGACCACCTGCGCCGCTCGCGCCATTCGGCGCCCGCAGCTCCACGAAGAGCATCCTCCAGCTCTGACGCAACGGGCGCCGGGGCCTTCTTGGGGCTGGCTTGTCTGGGCTTGGCCACGCGGTGGGTCGTGCTCGCACCGCCGAGCGCCGCGCCCACTGCAGAGGCCCGCACGCCCACGCCCTCGACCATCTTGCTGGCGGCCTTGAGCTGCTGCTGTCCAGGAAGGTCCAGCCTGACATGTGCGGTCGTGCTGTCGGCCGCTCTGTCCGCGAGCTGGATGCCGTGCTAGTTGCGGCAGCTCATCTTGCCCTTGGCAACCTGGCGGCGGGCCTGATGAGCAGGCACCTTTCGGGGCAGCAGCCCGTGCTCACCAAGGCCTCCGAACTCGTCCAGCAGCCTCCACAGCTCTCACCACAACTGCGACCAGGCGTGCGCGTACTAGGTGGTCTTGCCACGGCCGACCTCCAACGCGTGCCTGGGAAAGCGAAGTTGCTGCCCACCGCCGCCGTCGCTGGTGGAGGGCCAAGCCGCGGCGCCGCGATGAGGGCCGACAGCTCGCCGCCGCTGATTTTCAAAAACGCGCAGGCCATCATGGCCGAAATCCCCATGAAGAGCCCCTCATCGCGGGGGTGAAGCGTCGCAACCGACCAGCCGACGCTGGCGCAGCGCTCGTGCTCGCCCTCGCACTGCGACCCGTCCAGGAACAGCTCGCCTGAGCGAAGACAGCCACTATGATCCCCCATCCACCATACCTGATCCGACCTGGACGCCATGAGAAGCTCACGCGGCATGGACAACTCGCTCCAGGAGGCAGGCTACCCGAGGAAACCGCCACTTTGCTCTCTAGCTCGCTGAGGCGTGCTAAAATGCAAAGTGCTGTCTGGTAGGGTTTTTGTACTTCGAAGGGCCCCGCCGCCCCTCCGGGTCGCACCTCGTCGCGCGCGCCGGCCATTCTCACGGGGGATCCAATATTTTCCAATTTCCTTGGAATCGACGATTAGTTGTGTCTGTGTGTTTTCCCCCTCCCGATATGCGGTTCCAGCAGGCGAAGGTCACGCCGAGGTTGCGCTCGCCCCGCACGGCCTGGGCGCCAGGCTGCCGTTGCAAAAACGGCTTTGGCGCTCGGCCCTGGCGTATGGCATGTCGGCCAACGCTCGGGACTTCTTGACCGCAATGTTGAGGTCCATGTTACAGTCGGACCTAGGGCACTCTAACATCCTTCAGGAACATGAGACCCTCCGCCAGCCAAGATGTACAAGAACATCCAACGAACACGAAAAACACTGGGGTACCCTCCCCGAACCGACCTGGATCTTTTCCCTCGGTCCGACAATGTGACCGCAGTGTTGAGGTCCACGTGCAGTGACGAAGCTGCTTCAGCCGCCGACCCTGTGAAGCATGAGGCCGCCCATCACCACTGCCAATGAGATCGCGAGATTCACCTCGACCACGAGGAGGAGAGCAGGGACGGGGGCCGATGAAGGGAGGGGAAGAGGACAAGGAGGACGGAGGAGGGCATCGGGGGGCGAGGAGATGGGACGAGAAGCTGCAGCACGCGCTGGAGCGCGGCCATGCTAAGAGCATAACGGGGTGGCCGTGACCGTTCAGATCGTGTATTCATCGTACTGAAAACGTTGCTGATAGTTCAACCGCTTCATATTTCAATACACGCAAGGTGCAATCTTGCCTCACAATATTATGCTGTCATCACTCGCATCACCTTGGCCATGACTCTATGGAATCATCGGTCTTACCCAACTGATTGCTGGTCTCACTATGAGCTGTAAAGCTTGTCGCATACCCCCCGCTGAAGAGAGTAGCGATTCATACAATCCAAACGCTGGTCAACTTCATGTTGTGACAGCTCTGTTGCATTTGGACTCGGGATATATTCGTGCTTACAGCTTAGTCCAACCAACTCGGTGTGCTCCGCCTCGTTGCTGTCATCCCAAGGCAGCCCAGTGCGTGGTTGAATGCTTGCCGCTATTCCATTCTAGTCGCATGTGCTTCCTCTCGCCATCGCTCGGATGTCCATTCCCTTTGTTTTTTTCGGTTTCGTGCGTGTTGTTTTCGCCAAATGATGAAGGATGCTCCTCGATGTTCCTCGCCGAAGGAAAAATGCACACGTCCGAGCGATGACACGTCCTTAGTCAACCCTGTCGCCTCACCAAACGGGGTACACTCCTGCACTGACCTCGACTGAGTTGATAGTTCCCCCTCTCATGTGCCACCAGCGCTGTGGTGTCGAGCACGTCCAAAACTTGCTGCACAGCGATGTCCACCTTCGCCTTTTGGCACCTCGATGGCGTTTCGAAGTATTCGTGCCTGGGGATCTCGAAATTCCAAGTTGCACCCTGCGTCGCAATGATCTCATGTAATCACTGTCCTTGACGGAAGTGCAGCTTCGCTACCCCATATGCTGGAATTTGAATTTCAAGGTTGCTAAGCCTTCATTGCCGCACAATGGTTGTTCGAAATGGACTCTGACTTCTCGATTCTGATTTAAGCGAACATCGCGAACTGGTCAATCCGGTTCAATCCCTTTGCTTCTTCTCTACGCAATACGTGGCCGCGGGTTGTTGCGCGATGGGGTCTTCCCTGAGCCTCACTAGCTCGAGGGTAGATCAACCGTGAGGAACGTTGTCCTGCAAAATATCATCAACATTGATACGAAACCTTGGACATGCAACTGTGAGGGACACGGACGTCTGACGGGAGGGAAAAGGGTTGAAGTAGGGTGCGCAGAGAGGCAAGGGCAACCACGAGGGACTGAGAAGCATAATGACTGACGTTGATCTACAGGTGGCGGAGCTGGATGAGGAGAGAAGTGTAGGCGGAGGGAGAATGGAGAATGTGCATGGGATGTGGAGGAGGAGCGGCGAAGTCAACGACCAAGAAAACGGACGGCGGCGACGACGGAAATACCGACCACCACGAAGACGACGATGCCGACACTGTCACCACGACGGCGAGAAGGATGACAATCCGTTACGGCTGGCTCGCGTCGCGATGTCGCTGGCGTTGGTTTCTGACGCCGCGTGGATCTTTCAACCTTGAACAATCGCAGGGTTCGAATATCGCCAATCTGTCGATATCGGCCGATTCTGGGCCGATGACGGCGTTCAACCTTGCACGGCCGTGCTGGGGTCGCCGCCGCGTCAACGCCGCGCGAACCTGCTGCAACTTCAGGACCCATGCTGCCTGAGACCCATGCAACTTCAGGACCCATGCTACCCGTGCTACTTCTGGCGAGGCCCGTGGAGTAGCGCTAAGTCGGGCGTGCCCCTCTACAGGAGGAGTATTCAAACATAGTTTTTAAAACAGATAGCACGAGAACCATGTTCGTAGTATTATTCGGGCGCAGCGCGGCGCAATACCCTCGGACCCCGACGCCGCTCGCTGCATGCCAAGACTAGGGAGCCCACAAAGGACGTACGCGCCCAGCTATGTACATGAACACGGCCCCTCGATCTGCGAGACCGGCCGCGTGATACGAACTTTCGAGCAATGCGTACTCTCGAAACCAGCGTGGATTCATGTACGTGTACGTCCTTCATTCGCTCCTGAAAGACCGCGACGGCGACGGACGACGCGCCGCCCTGCGCCGCTGCGCCGCGGCCGCGGCCGCCCCCGCCGCCGAGCCCACGGCGAGCCAGGCCAGGGACGAGGCGCCGCCGGCCGCCTGGCGGCCGGCCGGCGACGAGGGCGGCCGAGAGCGGCGAGGGCGGCCCCGAGAGGTCCAGGCGCGCCCGCCGCCTCCTCCTCCTCCTCCTCCTTCTCCTCCTCCTCCTCCTGCTCCTCCTCCTCCTCCTGCTCCTCCTCCTCCTCCTCCTCCTCCTGCTCCTCCTCCTCCTCCTCCTCCTCCTCCTCCTCCTCCTCCTCCTCCTCCTCCCCCTCCCCCTCCCCTCCTCCTCCTCCTCCTCCTCCTCTTTCTCCTCCGCCTCCTCCCCCTCCTCCTCTTGCCGCTCGGCAACCCCCCTCCTCCTCCTCCTCCTCCTCCTCCTCCTCCTCCTCCTCCTCCTCCTCGACAATGCCCCTCCTCCGCATCCTCCTCCTCCTCCTCCTCTTCCTCCTCCCCCTCCTCCTCGGACACGTGGCCTTCTCCCCCTGGGCTTCCGATTCTGCAGACGCCGCAGCAATTTTCGGGTCCTGGGCGAGCGAGCGAGCGAGCGTCCATCCGGCCCCACTGGTCGTAGGGCCGCGCCCATTTGGGAGGGACGAGTCGAGCAATTTTCGGGTCCTGGGGCCGTCTCGGAGAGGCCGGTCTGCCTCGAGGGATGCCGCGGAGAGACGGCATCTCTGGTCTGTGATGTTTTCCGCGGCGGGGGCGGCTGCTTGCGGCCGGCGACGGGCGAGGAGGGCGACGAGGACGGCCCTCAGATCTGGGCGTCGCAAGAAATCGTGGCGGTATCGGCATTTCATTGCCGCTCTCGAGATTTTCGGCCGCTGGCGGCCGTTCCAGGCCGCGGGGAACTGCCATCAGAACGCGGCTCAGAGTGGAAAGCTTGCCCCGAGGAAGGGGTCGACACCATGGGGGCCGCTGGCACAAGACAAATTTGAAGTGGCCCAGGAGCACACTTACACTTACACTTACACTTACACTTACACTTACACTTACACTTACACTTACACTTACACTTACACTTACATGTGCACTTGCACTTGCACTTGCACTTACGCACCCTCAGACACACACGCACCCTCAGACAGACACACACACATACACACACCACCACACCACACACACACACACGCACGCACGCACGCACGCACGCACGCACGCACGCACGCACGCACGCACACGCACACGCACACACGCACACACACAGAAACACACACACACACGCACATACACACAAACATAGCACAGCACAGCACAGCACAGCACAGCACAGCACAACACACACACACGCACACACGCATGCACACACATATATATATGTATATATATATGTATATATATGTATATATATATAGATATCCATACATTCGTATGAAAGAATCCCAGGGCTCCCCATGTTTGCGGATAGTCTCTACATTTCGCCTTCCCCCTACCATAGTTTCGTATATTTTCTTGAAGTCAACATCTGATGGTGTCTGTGATTGTCTGTGTGCTTTTCCCCTCCTGGAGACTGCAGCGCCGAAGCAAAAAAGCGAGGACGGCGACAACAAACGCAAGGAGGACGGCTTCATCGTTCTGCCGTTTGTTTGGATCGCTTCTGGGCATTCCCGTCGCCACGGCTGGGTGCGGCTCGAAAAGCTGTTTGAATGGAGGGCAGCGAAGATGGGACGTCGACGACATGGAGAACGCGCCACTTCGCATGAGCCAACTCCCCATAGTCAGCCTTCCTCCGTCGTCATCTGACTCTCCTCTTTCCCCCTCCGTTTCCTCCTCCTTCGTCTACGCCTTAATCTATTCCTCCTGCTCGTCCTCTTTCCTCCTCCGCCATCGCCGCTGATATCACGATCACTTCCACTGTCACCGCCACTGACTGCCACGCACTGTTGGCACCGCCACTGCCATTCCGCCTGAACCTCCCAGAGAACTCTCGCGAATACCCTCCCAAAATGCCTAGAACCAATGAGACATCATCGCACCAGACCGCCCAGAACCGATCACAGCTTCTGCACCGCCCCCGCCTCCTCCTCGGCTCGTGCCCCTCCCCCGTCAAGACAGTAGAGCCTAGACTCGAATCGATACGTCGGCTCGGCGATCGACATGAATCGGATCAGCAGAAACTCGGCAGCCGAATCGAGACAAGTCAAATCGGCGGAAATCGGCAAACTAATAAGCCTTTTAGCAATCGGAGTCCGGAATCGAATCCGAAATCGACTCCAATCGGAATCGGAACCCATCGGAATCGACTCGAATCGGATCGGGGGAATCGCAACGAGCCCTGTCAAGATCGCCTCCCGCCCTGTCCTGGAGCGGGCCTCTAACCGAACTCGCGAGGAGATCCGACCGCGGCGACGCCCCCCCCCTCCGCAGAAGGGAAGAGCGTCAGAGTCCTCGGCCCCATCCCGTGGACATATTTTCGTAGCGGGTCGCTTTCTGATGGCGCTGTAGCTCGAAGCGGATATCTACTCGGTGCCACCAGCCCTCCAGGCATGGGTTGTCTGGTGGGCTCTTCTCTTCCTCTTGCGGAATCCTCTTCCCTTCGGGGTCCTCGTCCTCGTCCTCCTCGTCCTCCTCCTACTCCTCCTCCTCTTCCTCTCCTCCTCCTCCTCCTCCTGCTGCTGCTGCTGCTGCTCCTCCTCCTCCTCCTCCTCCTTCTTCTGCTCCTGCTCCCCCTGCTTCTCCTGCTCCTCCTCCTCCTCCTCCTCCTCCTCCTCCTCCTCCCTCCCTCCCTCCCTCCCTCCCTCCCTCCCTCCCTCCCTCCCCTTTCCCCCCCCCCCTCTTCCTCCTCCTCCTCCCCCTCCTCCCCTCCTCCTCTTTTTCCTCCTCCTCCACCTCCTCCTCGTCCTTCTCTCCTCCTCCTCCTGCTCCTGCTCCTGCTCCTCCTCTTTCTTGAGGTCCCCCGGAGGAAGTCCGTCGGTGTCGTCGTCGCCGTCGTCGAGGCCCCGGGGTGGGCCCGCGGCGGCGAAGGCGACGGTGACGACCTCCACGGCGCAGTCGCCGACGACGCCGCGGGCCGACCCCGAGGCGTCGACGGCCGCGGCGCGCCCAGCCAGCCGCGACCCTCTGCCGCCCGCGCCCGCGCGCGCGGGGAGCCTGCTGCGTCCGCGGGGCTCGCGAGTCGGCGTGCGTCGCTGGCGGGGGCTGCGCGTGGTACGCAGGGGCCTGCAGGGGTGGGAGGTCGCCCTCCTCCTCCTCCTCCTCCTCCTCCTCCTCCTCCTCCTCCTCACCCTCTCCCTCCTCCCCCTCCTCCTGCTCCTCCTCCTCCTGCTGCTCCTCCTCCTCCTGCTGCTCCTCCTCCTCCTCCTCCTTCTCGTCCTCCTCCTCCTCCCCTCCTCCTACCTCCCTCCCTCCCTCCCTCCCTCATGCTCCTCCTCCCTGTTCTTCTCCTCTTACGGCTGATTCACAGGCTCCTGAATTTTTCATGGTGATTCTTGTGAAGACTCCCCGCTGCCCCAATTTGATACTAGCGGGCTGTGCCGCGACATCACTGCAAGTTATTCAGACGCCGCGCCCTCGACACGTAGGAACCACGCTCTCGTTCAGGATGACCAGCGGGGGGGTTCAGTGACGGCCGCATTTGATTCGGGGGCGCGCAAACATGGATTAGCGATTCATGTATTAGGCGCGCGGTCGCCACATCCATGGATCGGGGGAAGTGCCCTCCCCAAAATGCGGCCGGCGCCGCCTCGCTCGGCGGCGGAAATCCGCGATTTCCCCTTGAAACGGGACCCGTCGCTAATCCACGCCAACTTAATCCATTTTTGCGATCGCCTGATTGATGGAGGGTATGGGCAAGACGCTCTGTATACACACACACACCGATGCTGGACAGCCCCCCCGAGCCCAGGATCGGTGTATTACACGCCCTCGTGGCACGGTCAGGGGCTAAAGCCCAAGATCGGCGGAGGATTGAGAGGGCAAGGCAGGGCCAGGCCTTACAATTCTCCCAGGGCAAGGTCCCAGCGGAAGCGAGGAGGGGGAGGGGGAGGGGGAAGAGGAAGAGGAGGGGGAAGAGGAGGAGGAAGGGGAGGAGGAAGAGGAGGGGGAGGTGGAGGAGGAGGAAAAGGAGGAGGTCGAACGGCTCTCGTGGCTTCGCTCAGACGCCCGCCCGTGGCAAAACTCCCCCTCAAAAGGCCACCGCCGCCGTAACAGCAATCGCTACATCCGCCGTAGTCGTCATCGTTGCTGCCACCATCGTCGTCGCCAACCCCGCACCGTGGACTCGCCGCCGCCGCCGCCGCCGTCGCCAACGCCGTCGCCGTCGTCGTCGCCGTGTTCGTCGTCGTCGTCGTCGTCGACGTCGCCGTTGTATTCGTCGTCGTCGTCGTCGTCGTCGTGTTCGTCGTGTTCGTCGGCGTCGACGCCGCCGCCGCCAGCCCTGCGGGAGGGCTTCCCGAACGGCGGCCTGCCTTCAGGGCGAGCGGGGCGGCGAAGGCCGCGGCGCTGGGCGCGGCCATCGAGGCCTCCAGCAAGCCCGCCCGCTCTCTTGGGGTCGCATTAGTCGCCGTCGTCGTCGTCGTCGTCGTCGTCGTCGTCGTCGTCGTCGTCGTCGTCGTCGTGGTCGTGGTCATCGTCGTGGTGGTGGTGGTGGTCGTCGTCGTCGTCGCTATCGTCGTCGCAACACCCGCCGCCGTCGTCGTCTCGCGGCCGAACGGGTCGTCATCGTCGCCGCTGTCCCCGTGTAGCACTCTCAGAAAAACGGCGTCGCGATTGACGTCGCCCCCGTCGCTGTCGGGCCCGGTTCTCTCCCCGTCGGGCCCTGCGCGGGGGGTCTGGGAGCCGATCTTGCGGCGAACTCGCCTACGAAAGCGCCGCGTTGGGATTCTGCTGTGGATGTCATAAATCTCGCCGAGGTGCCATGATCGAGCGGGCAGCGTGGTACGCTATCCGAACTTAAACTGTGTTTTCCAAACAAGACACCACGGGTGAGATAACCACACTGCGACACAAGAAATGGCAAAACAAACCGGGAGCACCGCACAAGCCAGCCTGCAAGAGGCGAATCCATGCTATGATCCTTGACCAGACCAGCAAATCCACAACGCAGTTGCGACAGACGGGATGACGGAGGAGGAAGGGAAGACGAGGAGGCCGAGGAAAAAGAGTGCTGGGCACCGCGGCTGCCAAAAACAGTAGTCCTGCGAATCGGCTGCTTATAACTCTTGCCAATGCCAGACATAGCAAAACACCAACCATATTGGGGAAGACGGGAAGGGGGGGAGGAAGATAAAAGGACAATATATAACTGATGCGATAATGCCACACATCGTATCATATCGACCCGTGCGCTCCGCTACGGAGAAAGTACAATGCACCAGGATGCGAGGTTCACGCGCTTCCCATGGTCCGACCGACCATTCCTATAATCAGGCAGGCCTCACACCACGTAACTAATACAGCGCAACTAACGATAGTGCACTGCCGCAAGTGGCGCGACATCTGCCGATATTCGGTTGGTATGAGGTGGCACGACAGCCCGACCGACACCAAGAGCGGACCATCGGGAGCTCTGGCATGTCCTGGGGGCTGGGCGGTCCCAACAAGGCCCGATCGTTGGGCAATGGGCGGGGCCGATGGCTTGGAGGTCGCTGGGGAGCAACGCTGTTTCCAAGGCCAAATCCCAATACGCTCGGCCAACGCGCTAGGTCCGTCAAAAACAATCCTTGCGACCGCTACTCCCCGCAAGCACTGATCCCGCGTCTGCACGTCGAACACAAGGTTTCCAGGTGCGCGCGAGGGCGCGTGCACTGGACTCCCAACCGAACTCGGCATCGTGAGAATCCAGCGGTCTTCCCGACCTATCCACCGCGAGCCATACACGAAGTACAAAAAAACGCCAAGGGCCAACGAAACACAATACCAGTAAGGGATCTACTGCAGAATTGAGTCGCTCCAACCTTGATAGTCTTGTCTAACTTGCCAAAAACATATAACGTTCGTCTATCTACGGAACATTCTACGCACTTCCCGTAGATCCGACGAGCAAATCAAAGTTTGATTCTGTAGCCGACCCCCTACTCGAGCAATTGCGCAGCAACGGCCGCGGGTCACACGGGGCACGGGCCACTGTGACCACGGCTGGGCGCAGCACACGCCACGGGCCGCGCGTGCCCGCCCTGGATGGGGCCTTCCCGGGGAAGACCCACTGGTTCGTCGGCAAGGGGGCCTCGGGCCACGCTGGTCCGCGGGCCGCAGCGGGGCTGGCGGCGCAGCCCGCGGTGCTGCGATCGCGCTTTTCTTGGGGGCCCCGCCTCCCTTTGGCGGCGCGCATAAGGGGGTGGAGGGAGGGGGGAAAGCTTCTTAGAAGGAGGCTGCTTCTTAGAAGGCGCCGGCCTTACACCTATAGAGAAGGCCCGCGCCCGCTAAGAAGCAGGGGTGCTTCTAAGAAGCCCTCCCCCCTCCCCCCCACCCCCCTCTGCGCGTGGCTGATCCCTTGCCCTCCGCGCCCGAGGAGGCGGCCCGGATGCCGCAGGCCCGCAGGAAGCCACGCCTGGGCCCCGGGCCTCCCCTCCCTTACACGTTCTTGACGAGATCGCTGTTCTTGACGTCTCTGCCTGACGAGCGCGGACCCGCCAAGCCGCTCTTGACGCCTCTACTTGACGAGTGCGGACCCGTCAATCCGCTCTTGACAGAAAGAGCTCGGTCCTCGACGCCTCCACTTGGCGAGCAGAGCACGGACCAACTGCGGAGGGGGGGCACTCCTGACGCCTCTACTTGACGACCACGGATGCACCAAACCACTGTTGACGAGATCGCTTGGCGAGAAACCCGCTCTTGACGCCTCTACTTGACGAGCATGGAGCCGACAACGGCCCCAAGTGCGCCGAACGGCGCCGAACGCAACGCGCGCGCGTTTCGCAAACGGCGCCCACTGCGACGCGCACGCGCCCCACGAACATTGCACCTGTGCGCGCGTGAAGGCAAACGACGCGACGCTTTCGACGGTCGCGACGCACGGTGGGCTCCCCGATGGAACCTCTCTAAGCGCTCGCGCGCAGCATGGGCCCGCAGCCCCAACTGCACGGCGCCGCGAGGGCCCCGTGGTAAACGCGCGGTTTGGCCCCGACATACCCCCACACGGGTTCACCCCAACCCACGCTCAGGAAAGGCATGCGGTTTGGCCCCGACGCGACGCATTCGCCATGCTTGTGAAGAGACGTCGATGTGGGCCATGCGATTCAGATCGCCAGGCCGACTGCGGCACGACTTCGAATTCGTCGAGCAAAACTGCAAACAGCGTTCGGACAGACATCGGACTACATGGGCGAGGCGCCGTTGCAATGAGTGTGAAACGTTGGCTTTGACGGTCGGTCGATTGGAACAATTCTCTTGACTGACAGCTTGGCTATTGACTTCTGCTCGTATCCTAAGAATCGGGAGCGGCCAAGAGGGGGGTGTCCAAGAGGGGGGGGTGAAATCATGACCGGCGGCATGTGCGCGGCCCAGCAGGGGGGCCAGGGACGTAATGAAATAAGAAGAGGCGCCATTAAATCTGGGGAAATATCATGGCCCACGCCATGATGTCCACCCCCCCCTAGTCATCACCCCCTCTTTGCCGCCCCCGAAAGAACACTACCTCTTCCTCCGTCGCCGCGTGAGCAGAGATCGCGCCCGCTGCGCTGCCGCGAAGCTCGGCCGAGGGCCACCCACGCATTGGTTCAACACGACTGGCGCCATCGATGGCACCAGTCGGCGGCGCGCATAAGGGGGTGGGGGGGGGGGGGGGGGCTTCTTAGAAGGAGGCTGCTTCTTAGAAGGCGCCGGCCTTACATCTATAGAGAAGGCCCGCGCCTTCTGAGAAGCAGGGGGGTGTTTCTAAGAAGCCCTCCCCCCTCCCCCCCACCCCCCTCTGCGCGTGGATGGACCAGATTCGGACGGCGGCAAGGGGAAATGGGGGAGGAGAAAGAGCCGGAACACACCAGACTGAGCCTGCACCTGACCAAGCTCCCGCAACCTTTCCAGCGACGGGGCTGCAGCCTCTTGGGGGGGTGGGCGGCGAGGACGAGACAGGCAGAAGAGGCGGTAAGACGGGCGAACCCGGTAGGGTTAAGTCGGGCGTGTCCTCCTACAGGCGGATTTTGGACGAAAAAGAAGACATAGTCTGAAAACAAAACTCCAAAATTGTCAAACATAGCCAAAACGTCGTCCCCAAACTATGTTTGAATATCTAGGAATATTCCCCCTGTAGATGGACAGGCCCGACTTAACGGTAGGGCTGACCGGCATGTCGCCTCTGAGGAGCGAGAGCGGGAGGAAACAGACGAGGGGGGAGGATGTTCCAAGCGTTATGTCGGAACTTCCCCCCCCCACCCCTACAGGCCGATTTTGGACGAAGAATTAAAAGTAAGAACATGCGCAGAAATAGTCAAAATTAGTCCCTAGACTTTGTTCTCTGAAAAAACAAGAAGCCTTTTTTTTCCAATAGTCCCCCTGTGGAGAGACACGCCCGACTCAATCCAAGCGGCTTCTGGGCGCGCCGCCGAGCTGTCACGCTGACCTGTCTGCGGCCGCGTGGCCCTGCCAGGCCCCGCACCCGGCCAGTCGGGGCGCCCCGGCGCGGCAGTCCAGGGCGGGGCGAGATGGGAGGCATGGGGGGGGGGGGGCAGCGGAGGGGAGGAGGGGGAACCACGCCATCGCCGGGCACCGCGCGAGAGAATGCGCCACCTTTCCGGCCCGTGCACGCTGCCGCGGGGCTTCATGCGGGGGAAAAGAGGCAGCGGTCTCCTGAAGGAGCGCGCCCAAGCTGCCCGAGGGCGCCTGCAAAAAAACAAGTCCGACAACCAAACAGCGCGCCAATCTTTGGGAAAATTCGGCCGGCCGATTAGGGGCTCCAGAGCAGGAGGGCAGGGGACGGAGAGGGGCCCACTGCAGCATGCGGCGCGGCGCGCTCATTCGCCCTCGCGGGCGGCGCCCGCCGCGGCCCGGGGGTCCTGCAGCTGCCTCAGGACCTCCGCGAACCACGGGCGCCGACGCGGCGAAGCATCGGCGGACTCATCCAAAGTGAGGGACCCCGGAACCCCTTACGAGCAAACACTGTTTGGGTAACCACGTCTGGGGCCCACATGCCCCGCAGTCTCTCCTCCTCCTCCTCCTCATCATCATCATCACTCCTCTTGGCTTCGTCCTTCCTCCCTCTTCTGCTCGTGCTTCTGCTCCTGCTTCTGCTCATCCTGCTTCTGCTCCCCCTTTCCTCCCTTCTCGTTCTCTTCCCTGCACGTCCATCCTTCCCCCCCTCACTCCTCTTCCCCTGGGAACCTGTCAGATGCCGCCAAGGCTGACTGTACTGGGCTCGCTGGGAGTGGTTTAGGCCACCCTCGAGCCGAGAACTGCTAATGACGACGCGGTGTAAACCACAAAGGGCGCGTGGCGCGCGGAGACGGATGCGGACTGGTGGGTGGGGGGGGGAGAGGGAGGATGGAGGAGGGCAGAGAATGCGGGAGGGACTGCAAGGATGACGATGCGGCGGAGGAGAAGGAGGAGGAGGAAGGAGGAGGAGGCAGGAGGAGGAGGATGCAGGAGGAACGAGGGATGAAGGATGAAGAGGACAAGGGGGGGGACACGTGTGAAGTCTGGGGGCTTGCAGGACGGAAGCTAGTAGCTCCGATGAGGGGCGGAGTGGAAGTATGAGGATGACCGTAGAGTTCGGGTCGGGGGCGGTCAGATGGCCGCACCGCCCTATTTTGGCGCCCCCTCGTTTGGCCCCAGAGGGAGTTCCACCGAAAGCCCCAGTGGCAAACTTCGCAGACGGTTCCTCCCCAATTCCGGGACACCACTCACATGTTTCGTGGCCCCATGGGGAGCCCCACCGAAGGCCCCAGCGGCTGCGTTCGCATGCGGTTCCACTCCCATGTCGGCGCACCCCTCACACGTTTCGTGGCCCATACAAAAGCCCACCGCATGCCCAAAAAGTCTGCGTTCGCATGGCCGCCCCGCCCTATTTCGGCGCACCCCTCACACGTTTCGTGGCCCCATGAGGAGTTCCAGCGAAGGCCCCAATGGCAAAGTTTGTTTGGCCGCCCCGTCCTATTTCGGCGCACCCCTCACACGTTTGGCCCCATAGGGAGTTCCACCGAAGGCCCCAGTGACATACTTCGAATGGCGGCCCCGCCCTATTTCTGCGCACCCCCCACACGCTTCGTGGCTCATCATGAGTTCCAGCGAAGGCCTCAATGGCAAACTTCGCTTGGCCGCACCGCGCTATTTCGGCGCACCCCTCACACGTTTGGCCCCGAAGGGAATTCCACCGAAGGCCCCAATGGCAAACTTCGCAGACAATCCCACCCCAATTCCGGGTCCCCTCATATGTTTCGTGGCCCCATGGGGACCCCCTCCGAAGGCCCCAACGGCTGCGTTCGCATGCGGTTTCTCTTCCATTTCGGCGCACCCCTCATACGTTTCGTGGCCCATACAAAAGCCCACCGCATGCCCAAAAAGTCTGCGTTCGCATGGCCGCCCCGCACTATTTCGGCGCACCCCTCACACGTTCCGTGGCCCCATGAGGAGTTCGAGCGAAGGCCCCACTGGCAAAGTTTGTTTGGCCGCCGCGCCCTATTCGGCGCACGCCTCACACGTTGGGCCTCATAGGGAGTTCTACCGAAGGCCCCAATGGCATACTACGAATGGCGGCCCCGCCCTATTTCCGCGCACCCCCCACACGCTTCGTGGCCCATCAGGAGTTCCAGCGAAGGCCTCAACGGCAAACTTCGCTTGGCCGCACCGCACTATTTCGGCTCACCCCTCACACGTTTGGCCCCGGAAGGAATCCCACCGAAGGCCCCATTGGCAAACTTCGCATACCGTTCCACCCCAATACCGGGACATCACTCACATGTTTCGTGGCGTCCACCGAAGGCCCCAGCGTCTGCGTTCGCATGCGGTCCCATGTCGGCACCCCCCACCCGTTTCGTGGCCCATACAGAACCCCACCGAATGCCCAACAAACCTGCGTTCGCATGCGGTCCCGCCCCATTTCGGCACACCTCTCACACGCTTCGTGTCCCCATAAAGAGCTCCACCGAAGGCCCCAATGGCCAAGTTCGCATGCGGTCCCACCCCAAGTTTGACTCACCCCTCACACGTTCCGTGGCCTCACGGGGAGTTCCACCGAACGCCCCAATAGCGCAGTTCACATGGCGGCCCCGCCCTATTTCGGCGCACCCCTCACACGTTTCGTGGCCAGCTAACAAGCTCCACCGAAAGCCCCAGCGGCTGCGTTCGCATGCTGTCCCATGTTCATGTTTGCACATCCCTCGCACGCTTCGTGGACCCAGAGGGAGCTCCACCGAAGGCTTTTGTGGTGGCGTTCGCATGTGGCTAAGATGCTCCACCGAAGCAGATAATCACGACTGCGGTACTCACAACTGCAAATGGCTGGGTCTCAAGATTCCCAAGGAGGCCACGGGGCTTCCCTAGTCCGGAGTGCCGATCCCCAAGAATGCAGCAAGCTCTGTCGGAGAACCGCACTGGTGCTTCCCTGGCGCGCTCCGACTGCCAGGGGCCGCCCGAAAGCCCGCGGCGGCGACCCCCTCGTCGTAGTCGTCGTCGTCGTCGTCGTCGTCGTCGTCGTCGTCGTCGTTGGCGCTGGCGTCGTCGTCGTCGTCCGCTTCCTCCTCCTCCTCCTCCCCCCTCCTCCCCATCCCCCTTTATCTTCCCTCCTACTTCCTCCTTCTCCTGCCCCTCTTCTTCTGGCTCCCCCGAAGCCCAAGAAGCGCCTCCGACCCAAGCCGTTTCCACATGTGCCCCGAGTTCTCCTTCACGACGCCACTGGAAACTCCAGCTCAGTCTTGCAACGTCTCCCAAGGGCTCTCGCGTGTCCCATTCCACGGGGGTTCTGGAATTCCAGAGTTTCTCTGAGAGGCTCCGCGGGCTCTCCAGAGGGCTTCAAAGGCTGTCCAAGGGGCTCTCCCAGCGGTCGTGCCCCACCCCAGCCAAGTATTTCGGCCGTGTTTGGCCACTCGGGAGTGGTGATACCTAGAAACAAAGAAAGCACACGGGGAAAACGATTGCGAAGGCGATGTGCCATCTGGGCTGGACGTGTCGAAGTGCCATGGAAGAGGTGTTGTCAAGACCTCCTCGGGGGGAGATCTGGGTAAGGGAATAGCGAGCCCACTTTAGCAAGAAGTATCCCGCATGAAGGGGTATCTATCATGATGGACACATGCTGCATCTAGAATCAAGTCGCATTCGGGTCACATGATTATTGCCGTTGTCGTTGCGTTCTCACTTCTGAGGAATACGTATCGTTGATCCCCCTGCCTTGTGTGCCTTTTGTTTTTCACGTAGAATGCTCCTTCCGAGGCTCGCTCCGTGTTTCTTACAAGAGAAGTCTTGGACCTCAGACTGTGCCTCTCTGGCCCCTGGTTTACAACAACAGCGGCTCCTGCTGGATACCTCCTCACGATATATTCAAAATCGCGCTCTCGAGCGGGAATTCCTTACAATTCGCCGGCCCAGCGGGCCAGAGGCGTGCTAAGATCTCCGGCAACTACTTAACAATATTTCTAGTTCGCGCGCGCGGGGCGGCCCCTGGGGGGCCCCGGGCGAAAAGTACCCCGGCCGATCCCCGGCTGATCCCCGGGCGATCCCCAGGGGGGAGGCTATTTTTCGCCACCCCTCAAGAGGATCGTGGCCTGCGAGGGGGGGGCTGCAATCGACTACCCCCCTCCCGCCCCGAGGGTCCCCCAAGAGCCCCCCAAGAGGCCCCAGGGGAGCCCAATACGCCGCCAGGGAGCCCCAAGACGCTCCCAAGAAGCCCCCAAGACGGCCCCAAGAGGCCCCAAATAGCGCTCCAGGGCCAGCGGAATGAGCGAAGCGATTAAATATATCCAAGACTCGCACTCTCGCGTGGGACATCCTGGCAATAAATCGAAACGCGGCGCCCTCGACACTGAATCACGGTCTCGCATTCATGCAAGACTGACGCTTCAGTGACATGCCCGCTCGCCCCGTCCGTCTGGGCTCGCCAGCGCGACCTGCCTCGTAAGGTCTGCATGGGTCCACCCGCCTGACCCGCCCGTCTGGTTCTGCCGCTTGTCTTCCTGCTCCTAACCCCCTTTGTGCAAATATCTCTCGTGCTCCACCCTGTTCTCTCCTCGCTGTCCCCTCACCTTCCTTCCCACCGTTTTAGCGGCTGCGCCAACCACACGTGGCAGGTAAGGAATATATATATATATATATATATATATATCCTTAAGTGGGGGTATGATCGAATACGGAAAGGGCGGATGTCGAGAGTTTGGGATATACATGTAGAACGACACGCGAGCAGATAAGAACGAACGACATCAAAATGATGGCTGTTGCCGTTTATATAAATCGGGGGCCAACAACACAGTCTGAGGCGCAAGTCTTTCCCTGATAGAAAACACGGTGCGAGCCCTGGGAAGGGCACTTCAATGGAAAACCACAACGCGCACCAGAGGGAGGGGAACAACAACAACTATCCTCTAGAAGCGAGAACTCAACCATCACTCCACCCCCGTGCGCCATGCTCCCGCGCGCCACATGCTGCATCTGTTATGTTGCCCAACTGCACGCTCGGCGAAAACCACCCCTGCTGCGCGCAACTGCGCCCCGCCGTAGTCCGCGCGGCCAGGAATAATTCCGAGCACCCAAAAAACAGTCGCAACAGTGTCAAACAAGTACCGCCTCCCAGGGCCCGACACGTGAAAACTCCCCAATTTCGGAACTTCCCTGGTGCTCGAAGTTCCCTCTGGTGACCACGGCCAGAGCAGGTCGGAACATCCCAAGGCCGGCCCTCTTTCGGATGCGGGGCGCAATGGTCCGCGGCCCGCACCCGCGGCGCGATGCTCCGCGGCCCGAATTCCTCCGCCGGCGCTCGCGGGCCCGCCGCCGCCCCGTCCGTGCGGCTCCGCGCCCCGCCGGCCCTGGCGCGCGGCCCTCGGATGCCAAGGGGGGGGCCCCTGGATCCGCGGGCGCGCGCGCGCACTTCTGAGGCGTCGGCGCGCCACTCTTGGGAGGGAGGGAGGGAGGGAGGGGAGGGGAGGAGAAGAGGGAGGTGAAGGAGGAGGGGCAGGTGTCTTGGGAGGCCGCGTGTCGCAGGGCCTCGCTGCCCCTTGGGCCCTCCCCCAGGTCCCTAGGGTGTGGGGGTCCAGGCCCTGTCTTGGTCAGGTCCCAGGATGCAGCGATGCCTGTGTGCTCTCTCGCACGTTGCTTACCTTTCCCCGCGCCCTCTGCCATGCTGCTGCTGTCTCTTGCGGGCTTCGATCAGCGCAGTCCTTCCGCTAAGGGACGCAAGGGGAGGTTGTGAGGGGAACGAAGCGAGGGGGGAAGGCGACGAGGGGAGGGGGAAACCAGACCGCCTCGCCGCTTCGTCCGAACCGCCGCGCCAGCGAAGCGGTGCGGGGCGAAGCGGTCCGGGCGGAGCGGTGCGG